GGATGTAAAGGAATGCTGGATGATTGACAGGAGGATGTAATTAACATTGAAAATATCCAGCCAGAGCCTGGGCGCTAGCTGAGTCCAAAGTTCTTGCCGGCTTGAGGATCTGAGTTTGATCCCCACCTTTGTAATGAAGCCAGCTGTGGCTGAGTGTGTGTTGTCATTCTGGTGCTGGAGGGGTGGGGACAGGAGGGTTCCTGGGACCCAGTGGCCGGCCAGCCTCGCCTAATGGGGGAGTGCCAGGTCAATGACAGACCCTGCCACAGAAGAGGCAAGGTGGATGTTTACCCAAGGAATGCCAGCCACAGACACAACGCCCTCCTACTCAGATTAGGAAGAATAAACAACAACAAGACAACAGAGATGGCTTCAAAGTACTGAAAGCAAACTGACTGAATGTCAGGAAATGTCGAGAACAGATTTGGTACTCCAAAAAGCTGCTCCTGCCAAACCAAACAACTTAAGGTTGACTTCATTGGCTTCTAGAGATAGTCAGTCAGACCAGCCAGGAAACACTAGTAATAGAAGCACGGGAGAGCTGTCTGAGTACTGGCTTTCTTGTTGTAAGGCACCATGAAGGGTGGGGAAAACACTCATTCAGTTACTACTTAGCACATGCGGGTATCCACATGTATGATTACTGAATTTACATCATGTCCAGTTCTGAGAACCTAGTCCGACAAATGCCCTCCAACCAAAAAGGTGATGACGGAGGGGATGGAAGATGCTGGGAGGCACCTTGTAGCAGGACAGGCTCCCGAGGAGAGGAAAAGTCTTGAGAATGTGAAAGGTTGACAGGCGGTAAACACCTGTTCGTTTGTTTTTGTTTTGCTTTGCTTTTTCAAGAAAGAAAATAATTGGAAAGGCTGTTCATGTGACTTAAGGTACAGGGAGCTATTTTTGGCTTACGAGCAACCATAGCTGTCAGAAGTGGGACAACTTGACTTCTGTGAGCCACTGTTTTGATGTTGTAAATTGATGCTGGCATTGAGGGTTCTGTTGTAATTCCTGGGGGTGGGGGAATTAGATAAATGATGTCAGTGTAATTTTCCTGGTTTTGGTTAAAGTGAGAGGGGAGTCTGCCCACTCTCGAAGGTGGGCTTCATAGCTGGTGTGGGGGTGAGGTGAGATACAGCCATGAGTATGTCAAACCCCCTAGCAATTCCTGATGGGGGCTAGACTCGGGAGTGCTCCAGGGGGTGGTGCAAAGCCTCCCTGCTTCCTCTTTCATGGTGGGTGCTTTGACACCAGCAGTCCATCCCCAGGCAGACATAGCTGCTCTGCTTGCTGAGGAGAGCTCAGAGTTACATTAGTGAGTCACTCTGATTTCCCCACATCATCTTGCATGAAAGTGGAGTGTTTGTAAACACCTCTGAGGGCTACATGGGGCTGAGCTGCCAGGTACCTGGCTCCGAAGGGCAATGTGAGCAGGAAGGCAGATGGACCCCACATCTTTTTTGCTAAGCTTCTACAGTGGTGAGGTGGACACAAGGTTCCTCCCTCGTTGCTTGATGTTTAACAAATGTCCTGGACACCTGTTGACCTCAATTTAACTGCTGAGTAGGTCCAAAGCGAACCCAAAACAAGCCCCTAACTCAAGAAAAATCCTTAGCCAGCTAACTCAACTCTATTAAACTACAAATTAAAAAAACATCAGGGATGGGGGGATTGAGCTCAATTTTGCCTCAAAAGATCAAGGACTTGAGTTTGATCCCCAGGACACTTGCTGAAATACTGAGCATGGTGGCACAAAAACTGTAGTCTCGGTGCAAAGATAAGACCCCTGGGGCAGGCTTGGCAGGCCAGGCTAAAGTACTGGGTGAGATTCAGGCTTAGCAGGTGCTCCTGGGGATAACTACACAAAGGAAAGTAGGAAACTGCCAGAGGAAGCTGGACCAAACACAAAGAAAGGCGTCAGGGATGAGTGTGTTCGAGCACCAGAGTAAAGAACAGTTCATTTCCTGTTCTCTCTATTCAAGACCATCATATTGCTGTCTTCATGACAATGGCCATGAGAGTGAGAGGGAGCAGACTATTTACAGTCAGGAGGAAGCTTGGCATGAGAGGGGTGCTAAGATAATTACAATAAATACAAAAAAGTTGAGCGCCGATGCCAGCGCTGGCGACGGCAAGCAACTGCTGAGGGACAGGGTCCACCTTTGCCTCTATATGTGGTCGCCTCTCCCATTAGTGTGTGGAGTTGGTCTTTCTGATGTCTTTGAGTCTTCAGTTAGTCACAGAATTGTCCCTTGGTTTTTTGAGACGGGGTTTCTCTGTGTAGCCTTGGCTGTCCTGGAACTCGCTCTGTAGCCCAGACTAACCTCGAACTCACAGAGATCCTCCTGTCCCTGACTACCGAGTGCTGGGATTAAAGGTGTGTGCCACCACTGCCCGCTATCTTTTAGTTTCTATAGTGTGCTTAAAGACAATTTTACTGAAGATAGGGAGAGCGGGCCTACTTGGGCTAGCCCCTTAGAGGTGTTCCCCACGGGAGAGTGTGGGCAGTGTTGTTCAGTGATCTGCCTGCTTTTGTGGAGTTAAGCTAGTAATTTGTTAGATAGCCTTAGGGTTTGGTACAGAAATCTATTCTGTTTGTCTTAACACACTTGTATGTGTCTGTACACATGTTTCTATCTCTGGCTATGGTGGAGAAATTTAGAGCCTACAATTGAATAATAGACATGTATGACATGTGTACTAAGCTATCACGTTTAATGATGGATAACTGCTCATATGTGTATTTTATTTTCCCTTATTTATATTCCCTTTATTTTCAAAAGGCTCGTTTTTCTCCACTTCTCTACTGCCAAAGTCAAGAACTGCCTAATGGTTCTGTCAAGGAGGTTCCAGCTCCTGTGCCTGCTCTTCTGGAGGCCACAAGTCCAGACACTACAGAAGATGCAGGAGATCATAAACCCAAGCTCTGTAGGCTGATTAAAGTTGACAACAGCTATGGATTTCACCTTAATGCCATTCAGGGTCAGCCAGGCTCCTTTGTCAAAGAGGTATGGTAACTGGTCCCAGCAGCCCAGCAAACACAGCCAGTTAGGATTGGCACTTTCAGTGCAAGCCATGCATAGACATGATGCTTGCTGCAGAGGTGGTCATATTCCCCACCTCCAGGAGTGCTACCTGTCTGCTTTTGTGCATGCGTCATAGTGCCTGTACCCTGTAGGGATGGGCAGTGAGACAACTGCAGCTCTCAAGTTGGGATCCCAATACCTTCAGGCCAAAGATGTTCAGTACGGTGCTTGGCCAGGGTGGAGGAGAGGGTATAGCCCACCAAGGAGAAAGATGTGGTTAAGTTTTCAGGAGGGATCATCACCCTAACCCATGTTTGGAACTGACCCCTGGACCTTCTGCTTGCAGGTACAGAAGGGTGGCCCTGCTGACAAGGCTGGGCTGGAGGATGAGGACATCATCATTGAAGTGAATGGGGAGAACGTGCAAGACGAACCCTACGAGAATGTAGTGGTCAGAATCAAGAGCAGCGGAGAGGAGGTCACTCTCCTGGTCTGTGGAAAGAAGGCCTACGACTACTTCCAAGCTAAGAAAATCTCCATTGTTTCCTCCCTGGCTGACCCCCTGGTCACTTGCACTGATGGCCAAGGAGAAACATCAACAGAGTCAGGGCATGACTCCCACCCAGCAAAAGAGCGAGTGAGTGGTGACTTGCTTCTCTGGGATCCAGTCCCAGTGTCTGTTTCCTCAAAACTAACACAGGGTAACCAACCTGTCAGGGTTTTGTGAGGATAAGAGGTAGTACAAGAACACTGTCTTCTTAGAAATGTGGCCTCATTGTGGAGCCCAGGCTGGCCTAGAACTCTAGATCTCTTGGCTCTGCTTCCTGAGTGCTGGGACTGTGGCTTGTGAAGTTATTTTCTTAGCATGCGGTTGGCAATCAGTCAATGAAGAATCATGATGGAGACTACCAAAAGAACCCAATTCGGTTCTGTGGGACCAGCTCTGTTTCTGCTGCACATCAGGGGATTTTCTGCTCTGTGCTCTAGCTTTTCTACTGTTTACATTATTCCTATAAGACAGGGATAAAGTGCACAATTGTTTTCAGAACAGTGCCTGGCTCACAGTCAGTGAAAACTCACGGTCAGGGTCAGTATTAAGTAAATGGCAGGTATTATGTCAAAAAATGTCAATTTTTTCTAGTCAATTTTTTCTTCATAGATGAACTTGATTGAGATTCAAAAATGAACCGACATCCAAGTTAATAAAAGGAAATTTTCTGATGAAAAGTCTCACTACACTTTTCCTTTCCATCGTATTAATTCCACTGATAGGGAATGTCAGTTATAGTACTATAGTGGTCTTATAGAAAACTGATTGTATACATATATTCACAAACATATATATAGAGACAGACATTCTAGAGGTGCACTGCTCTCCTCCCTGCTGTTCACACTCTGCTGGTATAAACCTTGGTTTTCTTTTACACAGACTCACAGCACAGCCTCGAATTCTTCTTCCAACTCTGAGGACACAGAGATGTGATGAGAAGGAACGATGGTTTTGGCTGCTGGATTCCTCTTACATGCCCAGGAACTGCCTTTCCAAGGAAGGAGCTCTCTGCTGTGACCCCATTAGACCTCTGGAATCACTTGTCCCACGTGACTGTCTGCTGTTGAAAGGGCTGCTCAACCTAGCGGGAGGGAGCTGCCAGGTTCTTTCTATGTGATATCTTCCAAAGTGCAGCTTTCCATTTCTGTTGATGAAAGCTCTTCTGTGTGCTTCTCGAGCACCGGAGATGATTCATTTGTGTATGTGTGAGTGTGGCTAATTAAAGCATCAAGCAGACATCCTGTCAGAGGTGTGCTTTTGTAGCAATGCTGTGGCTAAGAAGCATTATTTGGGTGCTTTCTGAGTTGCTTGCAACTTCCCTGTTGGCTTAATAGGGTCTGAATTTGAATAGTGCCTTTGTTCTGTATAAACATTTCATTTGCTTCTAGACGCCCCAAACAGCAACATACACACTATGACCTTAGTGATGAAAGGAGACTTCCAGGCAATATATTTCAGAATTTTCTTATATTGCATTTGCATAATAAAAAACACCTTCCTTTTATAAACAAGAGCTTGTGTTCCAGAACAGGAGAGGGCTTGTTGAACAGATAACAGCTACTCACTGTCTCATCCCACAACACAAGAGGCAGAGGGAGACAGCCAGACCGCACTGCTGGATTAGTGTAGGGCATTCACTCTACTAATTTAAAAGGAAATAAAAGGACACACTTAAAATCTTGGTAAAATCTGTTTCAGATGCCTATCATCCCAGAAAAGAACAGATAACCTTTTGGTTATTTTTATGAGGTAAAGTTGGGTGAGGAGAGAGGGATTTTTTTTGAGACAGGGTTTCTCTGTGGCTTTGGAGGTTGTCCTGGAACTAGCTCTTGTAGACCAGGCTGGTCTACAAGAACTCAGAGATCCGCCTGCCTCTGCCTCCTGTGTGCTGGGACTAAAGGCGTGCACCACCACCACCACCACTGGGCTGGGAGGGATGCGTTTTACATTAGACCACCACAACAGCACACCAAGCCGGGCTTGATAAGCAAACCCAATGCCACAGTGTTAAAACTCTGACTTTACTAAAATTTTCAAGGGAAGTCACCTACTCAGGAGCACCAGGGTGTCCTCAGGCCCTGACCCTCACCCTCCTCATTTCATAGCTTCTGACCCCTGCTGAATGCTGTGGGGATTTCGCCCTCTTGCGCCTTATTCGAAGCTCCTTATGACTTCAGTATTGTGGGAGGAAGAAGGCATGTACTGCAGGCAGAATAAACGGCCCCAGCGGCTCCTCTGTTTAAAGAATTTAAGGCCCTGGTACAGGTACTACCCATTGAGCCTCACAGTCTGCAGTGGGTATGAGGTCAGGGTGCCATGTGCTTCTCTGGTGCCTGCTTGTGAGCCAGGTAGAGGAACAGTATGCTGGAGAGGGCACTGACCAGGAAGATGACGTCAAACCAGCGGTGGTAGAAGTTGAATTGAAGTTCTCCGAGGACTTGTGTGATGATGGTACGGTATTCTGGGGGCATGCTCATTCGGATCAGCAGCACGGAAGAGACGAAGTACATGCCCTGTGAGTTTAGGCCAATTAGTTCATAAGTTACTCTCAGTATTTCCAGGGCAAGCCAGAGCAAACTGTAATACTAGTCTTAAAATTTTTTGTTGGGGCTGAACTCAGGTCATCAGGCCTGAAGGCAACCACCGGGAGCCACTGAGCGAGCTACCATGCTGGCCCAACTAAAACAATTTAAATAGTTCCTAGCTGGAGAGCTAGATAGCTCAATGGTTACATGCACATGTATTGCTTTTGCAGATAACCAAAGTCTGGTTCCCAGCACACTGCCTATAACTTCAAATCCAGGGGCAACTGGACTCACATGTATACACACAAACACCCCCACGCCCAAACAGAAATGTTTGTGTTTTAAGCTGGGTGTGGTGGTGCATGCCTGAAATCCCAGCACTTGGGAAGCAGAAAGATCAGGAAGGAGTTCAAGGCCACCCTTCACTACACAGAAGACTTGAGGTCAGCATGGACTACACAAGACCTTGTCTCATATAACAAAACTGTCCCCAACAAAATCACATTTTTGGCATTTTACAGTTGTAGACACAAAGGCAGGTCATTAAACTTACCATTATCTGTGCTAACAGCAGGACAATGACATTGGAGGACTTACTGCTGGAGATGGCATAAAAGAACTGTTGAGAAAGGGAGGAGAGATGAACTTGGGTGGTACAGATAGATTCCTGTCATGAACAACATGCTACACGATGAGCCTTCAATAGCATCTCCTCCATGGCATAAAAAGTACAGCCAGTTCAGAGGCTGAGGCTATAGAGAGGGATTTAAAATACAAGAAAAACCAGTTTCCCCCTGAGATGGTTGGTGGTTTTGTGTATGACACAACAAAGTGACCCTCTGTCGTTACATTTCAGAAACTATAATGCCCTCGACATCACAACACAGCACTCCAAGCACCCGTAGCTGTCAAGGGGCTCCTGAGATCTCCCCAGATTGTGCTAGATGTCAGGAGTCCCTTCCTCCCAGTTTCTCTTAGTGTTTGGCTCTTCTACCAGAGAGGATTCATTTTCTGACACCATGTGGTCTTCCTTATGTTGCTCAGAAAACAGCTGTGTGTTCTGCCCCCTGTCTTCCTCACATGGAACTTACAATCACTCTAACCCTGAATATCTTGTCTGCCTGTCATTTTTCTAAGTATCTGCTGAATACCATGTGCCAAGTTTGGTTATAGATGAGAAAATCCATCAATGTAGTCTCCCCCCGCCAAAAACTCCACAAGACCAAACAGCAGCCAACAGAATGGGAAAAGATCTTCACCAACCCTACATCTGACAGAGGGCTATCTCCAAAATACACAAAGAACTCAAGAAACTAGATAACTACCAAATAATCCAATTAAAAAATGGGGTACAGATCTAAACAGAATTCTCAACAGAGGAATCCCAAATGGCTGAAAGGTACTTAAGGAATTGCTCAACATCCTTAGCCATCAGGGAAATACAATCAAAACAACTCTATGATACCATCTTACACCTGTCAGAATGGCCAAAATCAAAAACACTGATGACAGCTTATGCTGGAGAGGACATGGAGTAAAGGGAACACTCCTCCATTGTTGCTGGGAGTGCAAACTTGTACAGCCACTTTGGAAATCAGTATGGTGGTTTCTCAGGAAAATGGGAATGATCTACCTCAAGACCCAGCCATTCCACTCTCAAGCACATATCCAAAGAATGCACACTCAAACCACAAGGACAACTGTTCAACTATGTTCATAGCAGCATTATTTGTAATTGCCAGAACCTGGCGGCAACCTAGATACCCCTCAACTGAAGAATGGATGACAGCTCAATAAACAGAATGGATCCCTTATCTCTGTTACCTTTGGGATGATATATGGCTGGTAGATGTCATCTTACTTTACCCACAACTTAGAGAAAGTTTATCAGTCTTTTTATTTTTCTGGATGACTTCTGAGTTGTTGAAGACTACTGTGTAGGACCTAAGTCAGAAATCATGTAATTAAAAAGGCACTGAACACTCTGAGGCAACATACCTTGGTGAGAGTGATCAGCAGTCCTCTGATAGAGCTGACAATGATTATTCCAACCAGAATGAAGGAGATGTGCTGAGACCAGAACTTTACCTGCCATCAGAACAGGAAGAACAGGCCATTACATTCCAGGCTGAGCTGAGAGCTAATGTGAGTTCTGATTACGTATGTGACTAGGAGAAGAGATTCCAGGAGGTCACTCTGGTTGGTTTTGAAGTAAATACCTATAGGTGGAAGATATCTTGGGAAGATTGCATTGGATCCCTTAATTAGCAGACTTAATCAACTCTTAAGGGTCAAAGAAAGCAAGTACAGAGAAATGAGGGAGAAAACACTAATCAGAAAACCCACAGCTGGTGCGCTGGTCCTACTGTGAGGAAACCCACAGCTGATGAGATGGTCCTACTGTGAGGAAACCCACAGCTGATGAGATGGTCCTGCTATGAGGAGTGCAGAAGGAGGGATTAACAGGAAATGAACTCATTGTTTTCAAGTCTGTGAATGAAGGATTGATGACCACACAGCACTTGCAGGAGTAAAGATCAATGCCATTACAGCGAGACTACACAGGTATTCCTAGTGAATTTCACTTGAACCACACAATGGAGCTCTTTTTTCTGCACTGCTTGACAGGGAACCTGTGCTTGCCTCTGTTCTCAGGGATGTGAGGCTGAGGCCATACCAACATCCAAAAGGCTGGTTATTTATTCAGAAGTATAAACATGGAGGAAGTAGATGAATCAGGTTGGAACAGATTTGGCGAGCAGCCTCAGAGTGCTCAATCCTGAAAGTGAAGCCCAGTAAAGAAAACATTTGTTTCTGAGACACGATTTTACTGTGTAGCCCTGCATAGCCTGGAACTTGCTATGTAGACTAGGCTGGCCTTGAATTTAGAGATTTACCTGCCTCTGCCTCCCTAGTGTCGCCACTCACAGCAAGCCCAGAAAGCCACGTGAAATTTCACACAGGCCTCAATAATAAAACTCTGGAATTCCACATGAAGGAAAAGATGCCTCCATCGACACACACAGAAAGCATACTCGGTTGATCCATCATTAAGAATGTATACACTAGTGGCTGGGGAAACTGCTCAGTGAGTAAGAGTGCTTGCTGTAAAAGCAATAGGACTTGAGCTGAAATGTCAAGCACTCATGTAAAAGCTGGGCATGGCCATGTGTGTCTGAACAACAGCACTGGCAGCTAGGGACAGGCAGATTCTGTTTATCTGAAATGTCAAGCCCCAAGTTCAGTAAGAGACCCCTACTAAGAAATGAGGTGAAGTGAGGACTGTGAACTTGATGCCAACCTGTGCTACACAGTGAGATCTTCCTAAAAAAAGAACAAAGTCATCCGTGGCGTTGCTTCTTCAGGACAGCAGCTCAAGTGTGCTTGGTCATTTTACCTAGCTGCCTTTGAGATTGGGACCTGCTATGCTGAGATGCAGAACCAAGGGCAACACACATCCACATCAGGCTCGGATAAGCTTAATAGCTCACAAAGGACAAAGAAATGTGACATCAGTCTTACTGCCAAAGTGTTCATCAGCCTGAATGATGTCATCTAGAAAGCACATTACACTATGAATAAAGACATTGAACTTGAGATAAGGTGTATTTATGCCTGGTTTATGAAATAGAGAGAAATGAGTAAAAAAAAAAAAAACAATCCTTAACTTTGTGCATAGTTAACAATTTAACTTTAGTCCGAGGTCTACCTTGACTGATAAAGACCGTTTCTTACAGTAGAAACCATTTCAGCTCCATTCAGAACACTAATTAGTTATTCAGTTGTTACTTTTCTATCAGGAGATCAAAGGTGAATTGTGAGTCTGAAGAGCTCACTGAGTATCACAGACAAGATCTGAATACTTGGCGCAGAGAAACCGGCAAATCGGTGGCTGGCTGTGGACAGGCTGTACTGGCGAGGGCAGGCTGAGGAAGACCTGTAGCAGCAGGTCACACCCAGGTCACTGCTTATGGCTCTACACTAAGAAAGCTAAACCTGGCTGTTTACAAACGTGCCATGTGAGTTGTCAACACACAGAGGACAAATGGACTCCAAGTTCAGGGGTTAAAGCCTGGGTGTAGAGCTACGGCTGGCTGGAGCAGAAGGAAACAAGCCACGATCTAGAACGGCTCTTACATCGAACTGGATCCCCAGGTAATTCACAGTGATCTCAATGCCTCTGGTGACAGGGTCCGTTTTCCCAACTCGATCAAGAACAATATTGATGGTTGCCTGTAGAGACAGAGCTTTATGTTAAAACACCTCTTATCACTGTCTCAAATAGTGACACTGACACACAGCCCCACTGGCTCAGGGAGCAAAGGCACTCGCTATCAAGCCTGGCCACTTAAATGTAATACCTGGATTTGCATGGCAGAAGTCGAGAACTGACCCGTTAAGTTGTCCTCTGACCACCTCACATGCCCCATGTCACATGTGCCCGAACACATACACACACAAAATAAACAAATGTAATTAAAAAAATTTTAATAAAAAATGATTCCACATGAATTAGTGAACATATCTTTACAAGTAGATGTTTCGTAAAATACATTTTAACTGTACTGCCTATCAAAATCATGAATAGGAAATCCATTTTGTCTACTCACACATAGGCAAATGAGTCTATCTCATATTTATTTTCTGTAAAGCGTCAAGGGCGATAAAGCATACATACTATATGATTCAGAGGTCAGAAAGCTAGTATCCTGGCAGATGAGTTAGAGTAAGAACCAAGAAACACTGGGTCAATTCCTGTGGTGATTCTGGGGCTGCTCTAAGAGCCATGACAACAAGAGTATGGCTGTCAAGCTAACAAACGAGAGCACTTGGAAGGAAAGACACCCAGTGAATCCCAGTGGTGGCAGTTTAACAAATAGAAGGGCAGGAAGAGGTGTGACAGATGCCAAGCCAATACCCACATGGGAGCTTTTAATCTAGCCATCAATAGTAACACTAAATGTAAAGAGTCTAAGTCATGGGTTAGCAAACTCAGCCTCTGTAGTGTGACAGCAGCCACGACAATAAAGGACCCGGCTTGGCTCTGTCCCTATAAGATCTTATTTACAAAGGCAAAGCGAGCTGGGGTTCGCCTGTGGACCAGAGATTGTTAATCTTTGGTTTAAACCCATCAGTGAAATGGCAGACTGTCAAACTGAGTTAAAAAAACAAACAAACAAACAAAAAACAAACCTGATTACTGTATATGTTGTTCACATGAAACTCACCTTAAATATGAAGATACAAATAGGTCAAAGTAAAAGGATGGAAAAGGATATATTATAGTAGCACTAATCCAATAGAGGCAGAGTGTCTCTGTTAATATCACATATGGACTTTGCAGCAGAAACATTGCCAGGGTGGTGTTAGAAGGGTCATTTTATAATCACAAAGAAAACACAATGATTCTAAACATTTATAGTTGATTTAAAAAAACCCTTCAGAATGTTACAATGAAACCCATTATTTCATACATTGACTAAAATCTAAGAATATTGAGAAATAACACATTATACATCTCAAAATGTCTTGAGAGGAATTAAGATGAGAGGAACAAGTGAAGCATGGCTGATGGCTTCTCCTCAATGCACACATAATCACAGCCTCACTGCACCCCACACAGTCTGCAAGTATGTGTCAATCAAAAGACAACAAAAAGCAAGGGAGCTCATCGTGGTGCTTGCCTGTAATCCCAGCATTTGGAGGCCAGAGGCAGGCAAGCCTCTGAGTTCAGGGTCAGCATGGTCTACATAGTGAGTTCCAATTCAGCCAAGGCTACACCATGAGACCCCGTCCCAAAGCAAAATCCAATAAGTGTGTGTCAAAAAATAAACAACAACAACAACAACAACTACAACAACGCCTCAAAAATAGTTGAAGCAGGGAGCTGGAGGAAGCTCAGAGATGAGGAGACCCTGCTGCTCCTGCAGAGAACCCAAGTTTGGACCCCAGCACCTATATCAAGTGTCTTATAAGGCAGCTGTAACTCCAGCACCACAGGAATCCAATGTCCTTTGGCTACACACACACACCCACACACACACACACACACACACACACACACACACACCTACACCCACCCCCACACACACCTACTTACCTAAAAGTAATAAACATAGATCTTGAAGAATATAATAAGTAAATACTGATAGAAAAAAAGAAAAATGCCTAAATCAAAAGGACTTGGATTTCCCCCCCTTAATAACAGATAAAGTAAGAAGCCAGGAGCTGCAGAGGTGGTTTAGCAGTTAAGAGCACTTACTGTCTTGCAGAGGTCTAAGTTCTGTTCCCAGCACCCACAGGCAGCTCCAGTTCAGGGGATCCATCCCTTTTCTGGCCTCCATGGGCACCAGGCATGCATGTGGTTCGCAGACATATATGCAAGCCAAATACCCACACACACAAAACAAATAAACAACCCAGGAAATTGGTAGGACTATAGAAAACCTTAATATCATGGACGAACATTTAAGAAACATACTAGACAAGAAGAGTGGGTACACCTTCTACTCAAGGGTATGCTTAACATTCCCTATACTGAGCTTAGGTGATAGTGTCTATCCAAAAAACATATGTTCTTAGAGCACAGATTCAAATTAGGAATCAACTGGAGAATGATATTTGGAAGATCTCCAGATTTTTTTTTTTTTTTTTTTTTTTTTTTTTTTTTTTTTTTTCTGAGACAGAGTCTCAAGTAGCTCAGGCTGGTCTAGAGCTATGTAGCTGAGGATGACCTTGAACTCCTATCTGATCCTCTTGCCTCTACCTCCCAATTACTGGATTTGTAGGTATGTGCCACTATACCTGGATTACACAATGCTGGGACTCAAACCCAGGGCATCAAGTATTCTAGGCAATCACTCTACCAAATAAGCTATATTTCTAACTGCTACATATTTTATTCCACACTTCTAACTACAATGGGACAGAGAAGAAATCAAGAGAAAAACCAGAAAGCATTTGGAACTGAAAGATATACCTCAGAGTGAAATGCAGCTAAGATGGCACCTAAGACATTTATAGCAAAGAACACCTTTCTCAGAGAAGTCTCCAATCAAAGTCCTTAGTTTCATCGTAAGAGCTGACTCGAAACAAGCAGAAGGGGATAATAAAGGGTTCCACACACACCGATGAAATAGGAAGCAGAAAAGAGTTAATGAACCCCCTATTAGTTCTCTGAAAAATTCAATAAAAATCAATAAAACTCTATGGATCCAATAAAAAAAAAGAGGAAAGCTACAAGTTACCAATATCAAAAATGAGATAGACTGAGCCTCGAAGCCATTAGGAGGGCTATGACAAAGACAATGCCATTGAGATGGCTCAGCTGTAAAACCACTTGGCTGTACAAGCTTGATGATCTGAGTTCAAAGTCTAGAACTCACATAAAAAGCTGGGTACAGTGGTATACCACTGTAATCCCAACCCTCCTAGTGGCAAGGTGGGAGGCAGAGTTGAATGGTCTGAGGGTACACAGGCTGGCCAGCCAGTCTGGATACACACATCAGCAGAAACAAGAGGCCCTATCCCAGTACAAGGGAACAGACTCACAAAAGTTGCCCTCTGCATTGGATAAACACATCAGCGAAAAACTCAGAGTCACCAATATCTGTTGATGTCGCATTAAGGAAAGATGCCAAAGCACTTCTCCTTGGAAGTAACTTAAGCTAGAGAGAACCTGAGTTTGAATTCTCCACTTAGCTCCCCATGTCTTCCATCTCTATGGAGCTTATAGTTTCAGATCTGCCTGTAATGTCTCTGTTATATGAGTCTGAATTTGCACCTGCCTGTCTGCTGTCTAATGTGTCCCTAACAAAGGGCTCTGTCTGTCTGTTTTTATTGAACAGCACAGAAAGTACCACATGGGGAAGGGTTAGGATGCTCCATAGAACCTTTAACTGAGTCTTATCAGGGATTGTACTTTACTCTAACAACCTCAACTGACACAAACACACAAATGCTATCTAGCAGTATCTGCATGCTACTTCCAACACACATGGTGAATATTCATTTCATAAGGTTGCTTTTCCCCCTTTTTGTTGCTGTACACATAAAAACACACATGCATTGCTTTCTGGGCCAGGGGCATGGAAGAGTACACAACCTAAGATCACAACCATGCATTCATTAGCTTAGTTTGTAAACGCTGGGAAACCCAAGGCAAGTAGGATTAGTTGTTACATTGTTCTTGTGAGTTCCAGGCCAGCCTGGTCTCCAGAGCGAGTGCCAGGACAGGCTCCAAAGATACACAGAGAAACCCTGTCTCGAAAAAACAAAAAGAACAACAACAACAACAACAACAACAAAAAACGCTGATCAAACAAGCTTAGGTTAGCAGTCTTAAGTGACCTCAAGGTATATTATTAACTACCTGTGAGGGTCACCGGAAGTTCTAGAAAGTAAGGGATATTTTCATTACACCACCATAATCCTTACTTCTTCATGTGGCTTTAGTACATGCATGTACACACACACACACACACACACACACACACACACACACACACACACACACACACACACACACGAGAGCAGAAGTGATAGAGAAGCTAGAATCCTCACTTGCTGTTGGCAGGACATACACTGGTGTTATCACTAAGGGCAACTGTCTGGCAGGTCTGCAGAAGGTTAACATATCACCCAGCAACACTTTTAGGCATGTGTGAGAGAAATAAAAGTATGTTCACCGAAAAACTTACACATGGATGTTCCCAACTGCATTAGTGATAAGTGCCAATAAATGGACACATGCCAAATGCTTACCAACCAATAAGTGGATAAACTAAATGTGGTATTATTACCCTTACAGAACACCATGTAGCTCTAAGAAGAGAACAGCACCATTTAGCTATTTAGAGCATGTGGGCAGTACAGAATGGAGAAACCTTAGAAGCATTCTGCTAAATCAAGGACTTAACTGTGTGATTCCAGCCATAAAATTCCAGCAGAGGAAAATGCAGACACATGTGCTTCCCGAGCCTGGGGGCATGGGAACTGGAGGACAAATGCATAATTGCTAGTGAATTTGGATTTCTTTTGGGTTAATAAAAATGTTCAGTACTTGACTGAAGAAATGGTTTTAGTTTGGTAAAATGTTCAGACTTGACTATGGTGATGGTTGTACAACTCTGAAAACACCAACAACTACTGGTTATGCTTGCTTCTCAGGCCCCACAGCCCGAGTTCAATCCCCAGACCCTCACTGACGTGGGAGGAGAGAAAGACCTCCAAATTGCCCTCTGACCTCCACAGGTGTGCCTGGGCATACAACATCCTTAATAACGAAATTTAAAAGTGAAGCATGTGTCTGTCATATTAGTCAGATGCCCTGCCCTAAAGTGTTAGTCCAAAGGAAAAGAGAGCACATGTCTACACACATACTTGTACATGTGTGTTCACGGCACCACATGTAACATCCCCAAACTGAAAACAACCAGATATGCAAACCGTGGTGCAAACCGTGGCTCAGCCACACCATAGAAGCCTACTCAGCAGTAACAAGGAACAAATTACTGGTACACACAGTAACATGGACATACTCCAAAAATCCTGCTGAAGATAGAAAACAAACAAACAAACAAAAAAGAAAACAAAGCAACAAAAGCAAAGCAAAAAAAGTATGCACACTGTCTGATTACATTTATATAAACGTCTAGAAAATATAAACTAATACAATGTGATAGGAAAAAGACTAGCCGCTACCTCAGGACCGGAGGCATTCTAAAGGGTGCATGGAAATTTGGCCATGTTGGGTTTTCGCTATCTGAACTGAGTAACAGCTGTGGTACAGATTGCCCGGTGTCAAACTTACCAAACTGTGCATTACATGTGTCTTAGCACATGTCAGTTACACCTGGGCGCAGCTGTTAAACGGGTGACATGCTCCCTAGAGGCTGCAGCTCAGGAAGGATTGGAGCACAGCACCTCTGTTCATTCTCTCATGGGACGAATCATATTTGAAAATGTCATGTGAGTGATACCGACATTAGCTCCATTGATTCTAGGCCCCCACGCATCGACACTGATCCAAATTAGCCAACGAGCTGACAAAGCTGTTCTTTGTGTAAACAGGCCCCGAAGGAAACTCACCCAACAAGAACATCATTTCAGCCTTTTCCTACAACCACAGGACACTCATGGACACCACAGCTAAGTCAGAAGCAGAGAAATAAACACACGACGAATAGATCACTGAGGGACAGCCAGAGGGCAGAAAACACGTATGACCCACAATGCACATTTGAGAATTTTGGACTTAAGGTGTACCTCATCAAAACTGGCAAGTGACTTCTATTCTGAGTTGAAAGCTGGGGTTGAGGTGAGATAGTCAGGTGCTCACAGGCATTATGGGAAAGTGTAAAACAAGAAGCTTATGCACCCTCTTTCTAAGGCCCCCAAAGGAAAGGGGAAACAAGATGCTGGGTGGTGTGACGGTGATGTTCTCTGCTGACTCAAGAGGTGCGACTGAGCTCACCTAATGTCTGCCACTCCTGGGAAAAGTCACCAAATTCTGACCACTAAAAACATGGTCACTGGGGAGACAGTTCAGGAGGAAAGCGCTTGCCACTTGCCAGTCTGAGGACCCAAAGTCTGAGTCCCAGATCCTCTGCCTCACCCTAAACTGGACATGATAGCCTGAATCTGGAACCCTTGCATTCCTCTGCCAAGATAGGTGGATTCATAGAACTGCCTGATGCTTACGGGCCAGCTAGCTGGAATCTCAGGTGGTAACAAGAGTCTCTGCTCCAACAAAGGGAGGAGAGAACGGAGTCCCAGAGCTGTCCTCTGCCCTCTACATGTGAACATGAACTCACCCATAGACTTTATTATAACTAATAAACACTAACACACAACAATAATAGAAATAATACACAGTAAATATCAATATAATCAATAAATAATAATAAATAATAAACAAAAAATCTATAACATACGTACCATAAAAATTTTCCAAACACAGTAAATAGAGAAAAAGTAACCCAGGAAATTGAAATACTTCCCCTTGAATGTTTTGGAGTATTCGATTCTTTCCTAAGGAAAACCAAACACAAAACACAGATTTTAGCAAAGGCAAACATTTTCAACAAACGCATTCCCATGAGTCACTGTTGAGGGTGAGTCAAAATGACACACTTGGTAGTAACATTAAGTGATGCTACTAAGGAAACCTGAGTTGACTGCTGACTTTCAGAGACAAGACAATCCATTCCCGTGAGCGTCCTAATCTCCACAACCCTCATGAGGTACGTTGCAGAATCTTCACTTACAGATGAGATGAGTCTTACAGGTTAGACAACTTGCTCAGGGTCAGGTGGTGAGTGGACTCAGGCCTGTCTCCAAAGCACTGGCAACTCTACCCTTTACAGCCACCCAAGAAGTTGCCCTCAGAAAAGATTAAGGTTGTGTATTTCCATCATACTGCATTTCAGGTGTGCCTTGGGAAGCTACCAGTAAGACAGGGACCTATCACTCTTGTGATGGGGCTAATTTGTGACACAATGAGAAGATCTAGGGGTGACCATCTTTATCCTGGGCCAGAAGTAGGAACTGGAGTGGGCCAGCCCCCCACCTCCCAAGTCTCCTCTTTCTCTCCAATTCTTTTATTGAGAGGGTTCCAGGAATGATTTTGCAGTCACAGGAGGGAGTTCCTAAACATAAGCCCTCTTTCCTAACGCCATTCAGCTTACACAGGTGCAATGCCTGCTCAGATGGCTCTGACAAGCCAGGAGGTCTTATCCTCTCTTCAACCATGTGGTAAAATCATAGCTGTCTCCTTGCTCCGTACCTTAGTAGCATACAGATCAGCTGTTTCCAGAAAGAGCTGCCTGCTTAGTTCTTCCAGAGCATCTACTTCCTGTTGAATAAGAGTCAGATCTGGCAGAAAGTGAGCATCAAGGTTTAAATCACAGAGAAATTTCAGAAAACAGCCGGGAAAGGGACTTGCTATAGCTTCTCTATAGGGCAGACGCTGGGAATTGCCTGTATCTCGAGTTTCCCACCTCAGCCAATAGTGTCAGGGTAGTGCTCTGGCCTGACAGAGATGTGAAGGAGCACCCCCACAGTCATCTGGTTTCTCAGACAGATGCTTCCCTGTGCTTGGTCTTTGTTTTTTATCTATTAAGTCAAATGCAACCTCTGAGACCTATGACACAGCAGCTCCACGCCATCTGAGTAATACTGTGTTGGGAATGCACAGCAAAGTGGTCATTGAGTCACCAGGCTGGCCTTTAGTCACTGCCTTCTTCAGTTCTTCCAGATGCTATCTTCTTTTACTCTCCCACATTCCCACGAGACAGCTGTTCCATTTCTCAGACAAGGAAAGAGGCTCCGAGAATTAAACAACTCCACTCACACATCTAGGTGCCATCTGCCTACACGTGGGCCTGCTCTTCCCTCTGCTCCTACACGTGGGCCTGCTCTTCCCACTGCTAGACGCTAGCTCCCATACCTCAGTGAGCAGGGTCACTATTCTCCCCATTAAGAAAAAAGGAGCTCAGAGGGCTAAAATCACCTTGACATGCTTGTTGGTTTATTTCTTAACCTACACTTTGGTCTTTGATGAGTTTTAAAGTGATAAAGACAGTAAGACAGACAGTCCCAGTAATTCAAGTGTTCCTTCCTTTGTGAAATGAATAAGTGTCCTTCAGTTCCTCCCTCAACAGTGGCTGCCAGCAAGGCCTATGGCCCTCAGCATCAGAATGGAACAGTCATAGGTCTCTGTCTCCTTTAAGTAGAGAGTGAACTCCTTGAGGAGCTCATTGTCCTATCACTTAACACTCTGCCTGGAAATAGGAGACACAAAACAAATGCTTTGGGATTACTTGTTTTTCTTTTAAATAAAAAAAGAGTGATTTTACTGTTAGTTAAGTGGGGGGGTGGGAGGGGCATGCATATGTGTGCAGGTGCCCTCAGAAGGCAGAGGTGTTGATCTACTCAGAAACAGAGTTCTAGGTGGCTATGGGCCACCTGATATGAGTGCTGGGAACAGAACTCAAGTCCTCTGCAAGAGCAGTGCACTATCTCAGCCAGTGAGCCATCTCTCGAGTCCCATTACTCATTCCCCCTGTTCTGCCAGTCACCTGGCATTCACTGTCTGGTTCTTATATGCGGCCACATCAGAATGGTGTGGCATGGTCTGCCACAACAGCCTGCAGCCTTCTCCAACCAGCTCACCCGGGTGAGAGGGAAACAGTTTCACCTGACAGCCTGTGGGGCTCAAACACAGATGTGGTTATCCCCATATGGGAATTAGTGAGCCTCTAAGATAGCGGGCTAGGAACAATCTATTAACCTAGTCACCAAGTATTTTAAGAGAGACGTGGTGCTACTTGAAATCTGTGTAGGCACTATAACTTGGTTAGAAATGGGCCCTTGCCACCATGTGCATGGACCACCCACTGCTGCAGGGAGCCACTGTGCTCTGTGGTCTTGCAGCAATGGGAGACAGAACAGCAGAGTGGAACAAGTTAACAAGCTGAGGCCACAGTTCTGCTCCCACATTTGCCACAAACCACCGTGTGACTTCACCTCTCTGGGTTTATTTCTCAGCTGTAAAATGGAAAGAATGACCTTACAGGTTCCCTCCAGCTCAGGGACATTGCTTTTGTGGTTAGCTACAAGTGTAAGAAAGATGTTGTACCCACTGTACTTCCTATGCCCAGCGCTGGCCAGCATGGATCCTGAAGCAGTCAGGCACCCTAGCGGGGACTGACCCAGCACTACTTTTTTTTTTTCTGCTCCTGGTCCAGCGTGGAGAAGAGTCAAAGGGGATAAAGGATACTTTCACTTCCTGGGGCTGACGCAGTTACGCTCTTCAGCATGCCCCAGAGTCCTGAAGGCTTGTTCTGTACTTCCCCCCTTTGGAACATGGTTCTCCGTGCCACGGCCATCCTGAAATAAAGAAAACAGAAGCCTGAGTAACGAAGTGTGCCTTGGCCTCGTCCCCTCCACCTTCCCACATCACAGCTGTATTTCCACTGGTTCAGGAGTTATGAGGGAGAGGACACTCCTAGATAGAGGCGACGTGGCCTGGTCTGGGGCACAGGATGTGGAGCAGGCAATAAATTTGAGGCCTGGCCCTGCAACCTGAAAGCTGAGAGAGCTACAGTTTCCTTCCTTCCTCACTCTGGATGGCTGTGAAGATTAATAAAGTAACAGTCAACCCCATCCTTGCCACGTGGTAATATCATTTAAGGAACAAACAAAGTAGCTAACAAATCTAGATAAAGAGCCAGACACAAGAAGGAACACAAGGAAAAGCAGATGACAAAAAGGAAAAGGAAGATGACAAAAACAGAGCCTCCTAACTCACTAAGACCACCTTTTTCCATGATGGTTACCCGAGCTGCTGCTGGATAAAGTGACACAATGGCACCACTCCCTCTACCCCTCCTTGTCTGTGGAGGACTCCGTGGCACATGGGAAGCTGCTGGCAAGTTCCAGTCTGCCCAGAGTTATTAAGAACAAGGTCCGTGTGAGCTTAGAAAACATACAAATGATTATTTGAAGAGTACAATGGGCCTAAAATCAACCAGGATGAATCTGAATCCAGTACAGACAGAAGCCCACTACAGAGAAATTCAAGGTGGACATTTCTGGGTGACAAGGGATAAAATTGGCTACGAGGAAGCAGCAGCACTGGTTTCATGTCTGGAACTCCTACAAATGGCACCAGGGGACCAAGTGCCAAGTGGCATTTCTGTGGGCTAAATTTTGAAAGCACCAGTTAAAAGGTCGTTCACACTGATGGCTACAGAAACAGTTTCCTCCTCAGTGAGCTCTGCCTGGATACTGGAAGAAGGAAAGTCCACACTTGCACTTCCTGTCTCTCCTGGCATAGTCCCCATAACACGGCATGTTGGGAAGACAAAAGGAACCAAGAAAAGGCTCAAGCCCACGATTCAGTCCGTTTTCAATGGGAACATGGGACAAGCATGTGATGAGGTTCTGTGCTATGCAGTTCATAGTTCTTGGGCTCAACATCTGGGATTACGGCAAGGCAGTTGAAAGAGTGAGCACAGAAGCCATTTCTATTGTCCCTGCCGACATCTAAAGGCTCCGGTGTGGCACTGGCTGTCTGTGTAAAGGTGAGAGGCGCTGTGCTGTGCACTCTCAGCAGACAGACAGACAGAATAACCAGAAGTGAAAGTTGGGTGTACACAGACCAGTATCCCCAGTCTTAGACAATTTACTCTTACTTTTGATTTTAATCACCTAATTCTAACCCAGTTTTGCTCTTGGCAAATAAGCTGCAGACAAAAATAAACATTTATTTAAGAAAAGATGAACAGGATCAAACTTTCTGAGATGCATTCAAACAAACACACAAGCACTGTAGCCATTTTTAGCTTCAGCTTTCCTATTGCCTCTTCTAGTAAGGTCATCTTTTTTTTTTTCTTCATAAATTTTATTTAAATTGGAAACAATTTTATACATTTTATTTAAATAGAAATGATTTTGTACATTTGATTTAAATTAGAAACAATCTAATTTCCTTCTCCCTCCCATCAAAATCTGTCAAGTCATTTGGGGCAGGGCCTAGGCCCTCCCCCAATGGCAACTCTTGTAACACAGTTTGTCCAACAAGCCCAAATCTACTCTGAAAAGGTCACACCTCCTAGTAGTGCCTCTCTAGTGACCAAACAGTCAAATATGAGACAATGGAGGTCATTGCTGATCAAACCATCACACAGACATACCAGAAAGTCTCAATTTAACACCAAAGAAGACAGCCTTATATCTTTGTACATGGAATGCTCTAAATTCTGTGGGAACTCCTTCAATCATAAGATCAGGTAGGTGCAGCTGGGGCAGAATTTCATACAGCTGGCAGGGAGGCACAGGCTAGAGTGGCTGAAATCTCAGGTTCGGAGTCAAGTTAGATGATCTTACTCATCCCAGGGTTCTAGGAAGCTCTTAAACTCAAGAGGAGGGCATCCTAGGATACACATAGGAAGCCTAGTTTCAATTCAATAATAAAATAAATAAGTTCTAAAAGGATGTATCCCATCCTGTGGGAGTAGGAAGTAGCAGGATAGCCATAAATTCTAGGTCTTCTTTGGTAAGGTCATCTTGTAACAAGAAGAAAGCTATTTGCTATTGGCTGTGCCCTTCAAAAACTCCCAATACGAAAACTACAAGCAGGTGGCTGAGGTCTGGCAGAAGAGTGAATGGGAAGAGGCTGAAAAATGTCTACTCCATTTTTTTACAGAATATGAAACAAAATTTTGTGTTATTCTTGTCCAGGGGCCATGCTAATTCTGTCCCATTCCAATTTTAGCACGAGCGCTGCTAACATGAGCACTCTACCCTACTTTAAACATGTCACCTATCGTTTTATGGCTCCTATTTCTAGCTCAGCATTTACTTTATTTAAACTTTAAAAAAAAATCTATTTGTGTGTGTGTGTGTGTGTGTGTGTGTGTGTGTGTGTGTGTGTGCATGCGTCCTTCAAGCATGTGGGTTTGAGGATGGAACTCACATCACCAGGCTTGGCGGCAAGCACCTGTACTTGGTGAACCATCTCACCAGCCCATTAGAATGCTTAATTTTAGAGACGATGTACACTCACAAATGGCTTTAAGTACAGAGAGTTCATGTACTCTACCCAGATTTCCACTCTGCTGCAACAGGATATAGAAACATTCAAACACTTATGAATATAACATGGGTCACTAAAAGGACCTTCATTTTGCTCACCCACCACCACTTCCTCAACCTCTGGCAATGACTAAGTTGTCCTCCATTTCTTCAGTTGTGTCAATTCCGGGATGTGAATATGATTAGGGTGAATGGCCTTCTTTCCATTAAGCAAAAGGTTCTGCAGGTTTGTTCAGGTTGTTGTGTGCATTAGCAGTTTGTTCATTTTTATTTCTAAATAACATTACATAGTATGGCTGTACCAGTGTTTTTAACCATTCACTCATGAAAACTTATTTCTAATTTGGGGCTTCTATGAATAAAGCTGCTAAAAACATTGCTGTAATCCTTGTTCTTTCACAGAGACATTAAATAAATGTGTGAACAAACAAATGAAAGCAATAAAAAACCCATTCTCCGAATATCAAGCATTATTCTAACAACTGATCTAAAGGGAAATGTTGAAATTCAGAAAGAAGAACTTGAGACTTTTCTTCACCTGAGGTGAGATTAAGTCTTGGGTGGCACATTACCCTATAATGAAGAGGAGTGAGAAGGCAACCCTCCAGCCCTTTTCAGAGATCACGGTGTGTCAGCCTCACCTTTTCTTTTTGCTTATGATCATGTCCATGGTCTGCAACAGTCGCCGTTCCAGTGCAAGGATATCTGTGTCAGTCACGTTCCTACAATGAGCAAAAACTTAGCCTGTTTTGGGGCCCCTCCCAAGGGCATAATGCCAGCCATCTGTCGAAACATAAACCTCAATTGTTATTCAACATTTCAAGGACCCGTTTTTGCTAGAAAAAAATTAAAATGACTCCATTAGGCTAAAATGCTTATACTATTGCTTCTTATAGTGAATTTTTCTGTTGTCCAGGGCAGCAGAGGGTACCCTAAACCCTCAAAGTCTTTCTTAGCTGTGACCCAGACACATTTAAAATGTGTTTAATGGCTAGAAAGATGGTCTGGGATTAAGAGTACTAGCCAGGCAGTGGTGGTGCACGCCTTTAATCCCTGCACTTGGGAGGCAGAGGCAGACAAATCTCTGTGAGTTTGAGGTTAGCCTGGTCTACAGAGTGAGTTTCAGGACAGTTAGGGCTATAAAGAAAAATCCTGTCTTGAAAAACAATAATGACAACAAAAATCTGAAACAAAACCTGGAAAACAAACAAACAAACCTGGGAGGGTCAAAAAAAAAAAAAAAAAAAGAATACTGGCCACTACTGCAGAGGACCTGGGTTCCTATCACCTATATGGTGGCTCAAATGTCTGTAACTTCAGTTCCAAAGTAGCAACTGAGGTTCTTTGTGGGCACTAGGCATACAAACAATGCATACCCATACACACCAGGTGCACATATAATGCACATACATACACACAAGCACACCAAGTGTACATACAATGAACATACATACAGGCACTCATTCACATAAATTTTTTTTAAAGATTTTATTTATTTATTATGTATACAACACATTCTGCCTCCATGTATGCCTGTATGCCAGAAGAAGGCACCAGACTTCATTATGGATGGTTGTGAGCCACCATGTGGTTGCTGGGAATTGAACTCAGGACCTCTGGAAGAGCCAATAAATTTTTTTAAAAATTGGCAATATCTTCTACTATTTGATGTTAAGGAAGAACCAATTTCCTGAAGTTGGGAGAAGTTCACACTGTTATCCACTGGAAATGTGCATTTAAATAGCATGGGCATAGGCCCACTTAAGAAAGTAAAGGAGCCAGATGTGGGGGCACATGCCTGTAATCCCAGTGTCCAGGGGGTTGAGGGTGGAGAATCTAACTTAAGGCCAACAATGGCTACTTGCTGAGTTGCTGCTTCAAAAGAATGAGAAAAGAAAATGACTTGTTAGAAAGGAATCCGATAAACACCCGTGGACACAGAGGAAGAGAAGAATAAAGAAGCAGTCCTAGACCTAATATGTGAATATTAAAGATGTGGCAGGACACACATTCCAGTAACCGTGAAGAAGAAAAGAAACGCAGTATGATTACCTAAGGAAGTAGGACATGTATGTGTACGGGCAGTTGACAGCACCAAACCCGGAGAGCAGAGCCATGAGCGTCACCCCGATCACGCCCACCCGGCTGATGAGCTGTTCTATGGACAAGATCCCTAAAAACATAAAACACATCAGGCCAGGCAACACACACAGAGCGGTTCACCCTACACCACGAAAGCCAACGTTACCTAAAATATCAACCAGTACCTGCAGCTTATACAGTCTCGTACAACTTGTGTTTTAGATTTGTTATGTGTATGAGTATTTTGCCTGTGTGTAAACCTGGTGCTGCAGAGGTCAGAAGAGCATTGGATCCCCAGAAACTGGAGTTACGGATGGTTGTGAATCACCACATAGGTGCTCGGAACCAAATCCAGGTCCTCTGCAAGAGCAGCAGCGCTTCTAACCACGGAGTTAGCTCTCCAGTGGGCAAGCATATTTTTCATTATTAATGACAGGCTGCTCAACTTTGCCTTTGCTTATTATTTGAAATGCTGCAACAGATATTGCTATTTATTTTTAAATATAGTTAAACTACATATGCTTCCATTAAAATTGTTTTTTATTACTTTATTAATTTGCTTACTTGTTTGCATGCATTTGCACCACAGCACACACGTGGTTACAGGACATGTGGGAGCTAGCGTTCTCCTTCCACTGTGTGGATCCTAGAGATGGACTCAGGTCATCAGGCTTGGAGGAGACGCCTTTGCCTGCTGAGCCATCACCCCAAATGGCTATGTGCTTTTAGAAACTACATGTTTCCTCTGACCCAAATGAAGGAAAATGTTCCTCCCCAGATCCAAGCTACCAGGTGATGTGTACACATGGAAGAAAGGACATTAGGAGGTGAGCAGACTGTGTGATGTACACAGAAGGACATTTTTCCTCTGACCCAAATGAAGGAAAATGTTCCTCCCCAGATCCAAGCTACCAGGTGATGTGTACACATGGAAGAAAGGACATTAGGAGGTGAGCAGACTGTGTGATGTACACTCAGAAGGACATTAGGAGGTGAGCAGACTGTGTGATGTACACTCAGAAGGACATTAGGAGGTGAGCAGACTGTGTGATGTACACTCAGAAGGACATTAGGAGGTGAGCAGACTGTGTGATGTACACTCAGAAGGACATTAGGAGGTGAGCAGACTGTGTGATGTGAACACAGAAGGACATTAGGAGGTGAGCAGACTGTAGACACTGGTGCCCCTGGAATTCATTCCACTCTTTTTGAGCTTTTCCTCACGTACTTCAGTATCTGGAAAGCACAAAGCTCTTGCGTTCCTAGACTTTCTTGAAGCTAAGGCTTAAGTGTTGGTAGGTTTCACCAAACTGGCATGCCCACGTGAGACATGAACAGTGTATGGTGGTGAGCAGCTGGGCAGACGACCCAAGTTTGATCTCTGGGATCCACATGGTAGAAGGAGAGAACTGACTCTTCCAAGATGTCCCCTGACCTCCATGAGAGTGCCTTGGCCTGTGTAAACCCACCACATGTGTCAAAAAATAAAAAGTAAAAAAAAAAAGAGCTTATCAGGAAGGCATGCACTTGACCAGAACAGTGACACCCAGGCACCCCCTGTGCCACGAGCTCTCACTATAATGCACTTTCTTGCAACAGGCCAAAAGCAGCATGGCAACTGACTATTGGTTGAAACCTCTAATACTGTGAGGCAAATTAAATCTTCCTGCTTTTTACTGCAACAGAAAGTTGGCTGGCATCCATGTATGCCCTGTGATTCCTATGTAGCTGAACTAGCATTTGATGCCCTTAGAAAGAAGGAAAAACTTTATTTCCAAATCAGATACTTTTGAGAGAAATAACCTGCTCTATTTCCCACATTCAAAGTTTAAATGGTTATTTTTTAAATTAGAAAACGAAACAACCCCTCTTCCCACTCTGGCTCTACTCACCATGCTTTGGGCTGAGGATGGGAAACGGATCCCCCAGCTTCCAGAAGAAATACATAAAGGTCAGCCACAGGAGACAGGAAAAGAGCAGGCGCTGCTTGTGCACTGAGACGGGACACGGGACTGTTAGGGAGGGCAGCTACTAAACAGCTTATTACAAATATGAATTATGCAATTACATTGCAAATGATGGAACTACACAATTCTTTGCAAAAGCATTCTTACCACAAAAAGATTTGCAAAAAGATTCTCAGAAAATCTTTTGTGTGTATAATTAGAACATTTATATTTTAGTTATGAATTTCTTCTCGGGCTGGAGACATGGCTCAGAGGTTAAGAGCACTGACTGCTCTTCCAGAGGTCCTGAGTTCAATTCCCAGCAACCAAAGGTGGCTCACAACCATCCGTTATGAGATCTGGTGCCCTCTTCTGGTGTGCAGATATACATGGAAGCAGAATGTTATATACATAATAAATAAAATCTTAAAAAAGAAAAGAATTTCTTCTCTTACTCAGTTTTTTTAATTTGAATTAGAAACAAAATTATTAATTATCTTTTAAATTTATTTTTCTACTTATTTTTGGTTTTTTGAGACAGGGTTTCTCTGTGTAGCTTTGGAGCCTATCCTGGAACTCACTCTGTAGGCCAGGCTGGCCTCGAACTCACACAGATCTGCCTGCCTCTACCTTCCAAGTGCTGGGATTAAAGGTATGCACCACCAACGCCCAGCTTCTCTTACTCAGTTTTAAAAAATATTGTTTTCACTTAATTCTTTGAAAATTTTCATATTTTTGATCATATTCTTTTTCCTCCTGTAACTCCCTCCCAGATCCTCTCCCATCATTAAAAAAATGTTGCTAGGTAGCAGCAGCCATCCTCCAGAAGGGGTGATTGTTCGAGTCAGTACCATGAGCCATAATTCCCAAGCCTTCTACACCAACAATGCCGGACTTCCCCCAAGTTATGAGACAATCAAAGAGGAGTATGGGGTGACCGAGCTGGGGGAACCCCACAACTCAGCTGTTGTGAGAACTACCGTGATCAACATGCCCAGAGACGTTGCTGTGCCTGACCATGTGGTCTGGTCCCTGTTCAACGCGCTCTTCATGAACTTCTGTTGCCTGGGTTTCATTGCCTATGCCTACTCTGTGAAGTCCAGGGACAGGAAGATGGTGGGCGATGTGATTGGAGCCCAGGCCTACGCCTTCACTGCCAAGTGCCTCAACATCAGTTCCCTGATCTTCAGTGTCCTCATGGTCATTATCTGCATCATTATTGTCTCCACCACCTCTGTGGCAGTCATTCAAGCCTTTTCACAAAGAGTGCCACATTCTGGGTTCTAGTCCTGCCCTGTGCTCCACAGTCCATGGCTGCCCGCCCCAGGCTGAGGCCTTCACCCTTTGTTTACCCTACGCATATGCAAATGTTACTTTCATATATATCTGTCCACAGTGGATCCAATAAAGTATGCACGGTGACAAAAAAAAAATGTTGCTAAAATTACAATGTGGACTGAGTTCAAGGAGACATTATAGTAGAAGCAGAAATACATCTGTGGCAGGAGACACAACCTACTTTTTCAGACAGAATTCATTTTATGGCTGCTTTAAGATGCTGTCGTGTCCCCAGACACCAGTATAAAAATACAAAAATTAAGCTGTCTGTAATCCACTCCCAGTAACATGTATCCCATCAATGTGCTGATGTAAGAAGGCAAAATACTCACACAGTTGGATGTTACTCACGATAAAATAACCAATGTAGAAAGGTACCATGAAAACCAGGATGAGCAGAATTACACACAGGTTCATTTTCCAGTGAAAATAACGGGAGCTGAAATCAACATCAAAGACATTTGGAGGGAAGGGCGGCAAGTCTCATTCTGTTAGTACTTCAAAGGCCCTGCTCTCGGAGACCAAACTGAATACACCCCATCTACTTGGCCAATAGGCTGTTAGCTAGGCACCTGTACTTCCAGCACTTGGAAGGCAGAAGCAGGAGAATCTTTGTGTGTTTGAGGCTAGCCAGGTCTCACATAGTGACTTCCAGGACAGCTAGGGCTACAGAGAGATACCCTGTCTTAAAACTTTCTCTGTCTCTGTCTCTCTCTCTCTCTTTCTGTCTCTGCCTCTCTCTCCTTTGGTGGCTTATGCCTATAATCTGAGCATTTGGGAAGAGGATCTAGGACTGTGAATTCAAGACCAGCTTAGGTGATATCACTGAAACCTTGTCTTGCAAAACAAAAAGCAAAACCAATGAAACAAAAACTATATAAATTTCTGAATAGTACATGACCTGAGATTTCTATCTTAAAATGAATGTTAATTCTTCAACCATACTCCTAGGCAATATGGATAAAACACATACTCTAAATGCAACAATAATGATAACAATAATAAAAATAATAATAGTAGATGTGAAATATTTTAACTATGTAAAGATGTGTTACATTTGTTTATGATGTGAATATGACTTTAACTGTGTAAAGATGTGTTACTTTTGTTTATGCTGCATTTATTTAATTATATAAACATGTGTTGCATTTATTGTTTAAACTGAATGGCCAATAGCTAGGCATGAGAAAGGATAGGCGGGGTTGTCTGGCAGAGAGACTAGGAGGAGGAATTTATAGAGAATGGGGAGAGAGGGACATGCCTGGGGCAAGAAGCCAGGCAGCCACCAGCCAGCCAGACAAAAGACACAGTGAAAGTAAGATATACAGAAGGAAAGAAAAGTAAAAAGCCTGGAGGCAAAGGGTAGATTAAAACAAAACAAAACAAAACAGGTTAATTTAAATTAAAAGAGTAAGCCAGAAATGAGCCTACGCTAGGCTGAGCATTCATAACTAATAAGTCTCTGTGTCACTATTTGGGAGCTGGTTGCTGGCCCAAAAGAAAAAGCCTGGTACAAATAAAAGTAAGGAAAGCTTAATCCTACACACCTATAGTTCCAGGACCTGGAAGTAGAGGCAGCATAATCAAAAGGCCAGCCTCTGTCACATAGTAAGTGTGAGGGCTATCCCAGGCTACATGACACCTGTCTCAAAACCAAACCAAAACAGGGCTGGTGAGATGGCTCAGTGGGTAATGACACTTGATGCCAAGCCTGATTGTAGGGGTCACTCTAATCACGCCTCCTGGGGCTGGCTACAGGTGTACCTAGGGCGTGGACAGGGTGACTTGAGGGTAGTTTAAGAGTCAGGGACACATGTGGGAAAGCCCCTCTTTTCCCTGCTGCTTTGGCTTACTCTGCTTTCCTGCCAGTTGGTTAAGTGCACAGTAAGTAAGGCATTTTCCCCAATAAATATATCCTAACCATTACCTGACTACGTATTGGTAATTAATGCCTGATGATGTGAGTTTGATTCGTGGGACCACATCATGGAAGAATACTAACTCCTGGAAGTTGTCCTTTGATTTCCACATGTATGCAGGGATCTGTATGTGCCCCCCACCCAATAAATAAAGGTAATAAAAATTTAAACAAAAAGAATGAAAGAAAAATAAATGTTAACAGCAATTCTAAGCAATACTCAGAAATTCTTTTGTAGTGTGATCTAAACATTTGACATGGACAACTTTCATTAATATTTATAAAATATATTTTATCTATTAAAGTTTTCTATGCAGGGCATGGTGGCATACATCTTTAATCTCAGTACTCAAGAGGCAGAGGCAGAGGCAGGTAGATCTTTATGAGTTTGAGGTCATCTTAGTCTATATAATAAGTCCCAAGCTAGCCAGGGCCATATAGTGAGACCCTCTCTCAAAATAAGTAGAAAGAAATTTAAAATGTAGTACTTCTGTTTTTCACAACAGCTTTTTAGAAAAATAATTTACCCACTTGAAGTGTATAATCCAATGATCTTTAGTATATTCACAAATCTTTGTAGCCATGACCTTAATTATTTTATCTAACCCTATCATATGTGGTCTGTTTCTGTGATTAGCTGTTTTAATTCAGCATAGTGTTTTGCAAGGTTCATCCACATTACAGCATCTATTAATAGTTCATCTTTTTAATGGTTGAGCAAAATTTACCCCATTATTTATCAATTCAGGAGCCAATATACATTTGGATGTTTTAACTTTATTGTAGTGAAGCTATGAACATTTATGCCAGATGTAATACGGCCATGCTTTTATTTCTCTTCACACAGAGATGGAATGCAATGCTGGGCCATAGCCGGGTCTGTATTTAATCCTTGGAGGCACGGCCACTGTATCATTGCACATGGTCCCCAGCTGTATACGAAGGTTCCAGGTTTACTTGGCTCTAGTACCACTTGCTGCTGTATGTCTTCAACTATCTTGGTGGAAGTACTCTGGCATTGTGGTTTTGACTGGTGTTTCTTCGGTGTTTGATGATACTTACTCTTTTATGGGGATTGAACCTAGGGTCTCATGCATACTAGGTGACTACTCTACTATGGAACTATGTTTTCTGACTATTGTACACTTTTTAACTGTGCTACTTTTAGTACTGAATTATAAGATCTCTTTATACGTCCCAGAAAGAAATTCCTTAATAATAGGTGGTTTGAAATAATTTTCTCCTGTTGTGGGATGGCTACTCATTTTCAATTAGTGTCCTTTCAAGTTACTGAGTTTAAGCTCAGGCCTTGTTGCACAAAAATGGGTAAATGGTTGGGTGGCTTACTAAGAAGTGGAAAATATAGGATAAGTAAATAAACTAGGAAATAGGGAGAAAAGTGTGGCAATGGTAAAGGCAGGTAAACACTGGACTAGTCCCGATGGCTGTTATGAAATAAGAGTTCTGTAAACTTGCTATGGGTTGGACACAAATTTAGCTTTAAATTGTCTAATAGTTTATGTGAAACAGATGATTTTATCAGACAGATAAATCATAGTGTCTGTAAGAAAATAAAACAAACTAGTCATAATTACTACTGTTTTATTACCCAGATAATGAGATTTCCTCAAAGATTTCATAGGATTTAACAATGTCCTGAATGCTATCCTTCCAAAAGAAACTTCTATGGGTTACAGAGGGCTGTTCTTTTTTTTTTTTTTTTTTTTTCTCTGTATTGTTTTGGAGCCTATCCTGGCACTCGCTCTGGAGACCAGGCTGGCCTTGAACTCACAGAGACCCGCCTGCAGAGGGCTGTTCTTACTGTTTTCCCTTATTATAGATGGCAAGCATCAGGAACAAAGAGTAACCATGAGCCTACAGGAGCCAAAGTCATTTAGTGTAGATGTGTTGTTTGCACTGACAGCTTTTTGCTCTCTGTTAGAATATCTAGAGAGGCAAAGGATACACATATCTTGCAGGCAATCTACATGGTACTTCAGGTAGCTTCAGGAACAAACCAGGAGGCAGGAGATTTGAAATCCAAGTGTTACTTGTTTGCAAATTAAAAGTCAATCACAGGGCCAAAGAGCTGCTCAGTAGTTAAAGAGTGCTTACTGCTCTTGCAGAGGACCTAAGTGCAGTTTCCAGCACCAACTGGGTGGCTCACATCTATAACTCCAGCACCAGAGGATCTGATGCTCTCTTCTGGCTAACCTGGGTACCAGGCATACACTTAACACAGGTAAAACATTTAACACACATAAGAAAAGCCAATCACATGTTTTAACTGGTCTTTTGAGAAGAAAATAAAGTTTTGTTCTTTCTTTGGGGAGGGGATCCAAACAATACCTGCATTTGAATAGGATGCCATACACCCCCTACTTAGAGGTAAGTCAAAGGACCATGAGATAGTCAGAGGCAAAATTCTCTTCTGGAAGCTATTCTGAATCCAGTGAATGCAAGATAGACTGTCCCAGTTGGGCCAAATGTTGGTGTGAAGAAACAGATATATGCACAGACATGTTTCAGCCTAATAAAATCAAAGCGGAAGCAGACTTCAGCGGCACTCATTCCTGCACTCTAAGCTAAGGAGCATGGGAAATGCACACAAAGTAAGACTGTTTCTAACTATGTAGGATTAATTATGAATTACAAGTTTAGGGCACAATGCACACAGACAGCAGGTATGGTCTTTCCAGTACTCATTCTGTGGTCCACAAACTAGGACCCCGCACCTAGCAATGTTCACAAACATGTTCTGTTGGGGCAGGACTGTACCTGTTTGTTTATGCCTTGCCTACTGCTGCTTCTGCTTTACGATGGCAGACTGAGAGTTATGGGAGACACCCTACAGCTTACAAAGTCTGCAATATTTACTGGCTGGTTCTTCATGGAAAAGTTTGCTAACTTCTACTCAGAGAGTAGTAAAACATCCATGTTGTAACAAAGCAATGTAGCAAATAGCATAAATACTACTTGTCCATTCTCCATGGCTCATCCAGACAAGGTCTGGGTTATGAAAGAGCAGGTCTGGAAGCTAAGGGAGTCAGAGCTCTACCACCAAGCCCCAGGAGTTACTTTATTAGTTCAATCCACCTGACCATACATAAAATTAACCAAGGTGAGTAAGATAGAAGAACTGGAGATCAATCTTCCTTGAAGTCCTTAAATAGCTGAGGAATTTTGATCTTTTCAAGTATCTTACAAGTTGGGGAGCATGACTAGCATTTAGTCAGAGAGTCTGGAAACAGAAAGCTGCTAGGAGTGAAACCCAGGACCGAGGAGGCTCCTGTAGCCTCACTCTCAGTGGGCTAATGATGAGGGCAGTTTCCCTAGAGACTTCTTTGCCAAACTTGTTACTAGGTGGCAATACTTTTGGTGATCTGTAGTGATATTTTGTTTATGATGTTACAAATAAAGCTTGCCTGAAGATCAGAGTGCAAAGCTAGCCACACTGGTCAGCCATAGAGGCCAGGCAGTGGTACACAGCACTTGGAGACAGAGGCAGACAGATCTGTTAATTTAAGGCCACCCTGAGCTACACTAAATTGATCCAGTCTAAGAGAAAACAGAGCTCACACGGAGGTGATCTTAGCACTTGGGATCCAATGCCTTTAATCCCACTAGAGAGGAATATAAGGTGACAGGAGACAGGAACTCAGTGCAATCTGAGGTTTGGTGGTGATAGATATAGTCTGGAGATGCAATCTGAGGATGGGATAGCCCCTTTGGTCTGAGGTGAGGTGAAGTAAGAGCTAGAGGCTGGCTGCTTTGCTTCCCTGATCTTTCAAGTCTCTTCCCCTCCCCCTGCTAATATCTGACTCTGGGTTTTTATTATTAAGAATAATTAGAACTCATGCTACAGTGATCACTGCAGCTCCTGAGACTAACCTATAGCTACATGGTAGATGTTTTCCACCATGAGATCCAAATGACCAATGTACTGTAAATAAAGGGCAACATACTTCTGGGGAAAGGATGTAGGATTGACACTTACCTGCTGTTCAGAACTCCCAAGATTTCAAAGATGATAAGCTCAAACATGGTGCACGAGAATGCAAAAGTCACGGAGAAGATCACCTGCACCACATACTAGCGCACCTGTTAAAGGCCAGATGTGGAAGCCAGTCATTTCCTTGCCTGAACTTCTGAACTGATAATTTCCCAGTGACCAGTCTACAAACCTGTGTAGAATTTCCCGGTCTTTAAAGCAGAAACTTGGGTTAAACAATCCAAGCGGGCAGCACTTGGAACCATGGCTGCCTCCTACTGGAATCTTCTTGTGGTTGGGGAGTTTAAAGCACAAGAGGGCGAAACGACTAAGCTACAAGCAGCATCTAGATTCCTGATGCCAGTGACAAAAAGAAAAAACATTGCATGCATGTCTAATGTTAAAAGGAATTCTTACTTAGATGCTGCAGAGCTCACATCAGCTCTGGAACTCTTTCCTAAGAGGCCTTATAAGATACAGATTCTCTAGAATCTGGGCTCTTCCAGACAGTTCCCAAAACTCCCAAAACTCGAACAACTTAGCAATGGCCCCAAAGTATCCAGATAACTAGGCAGTGAAAATTTTATTAGAAAATGGCCAGCATATGATACTATTCTTTTTTGAATCCAAGGCTTAAAATAAGAATCAGAGTAGCTTTGGAATTTGGGTATTAATTTAAACTTGAAGGCTGGCAATTGTAGACTGAAAGGGAACTTCCCAGGCATTAAAATTAAATACCCTCCTGAAAATATGCATCTGCTTTTGGTGTATATGGCTCCAACATGACTAAGGAATGACCTTCCTTGTTCTTGGTTGTTTATTTATTTTTTTCGTTTAAATCACCCAAACCAGTAGGGCCTGGTGGTACAAGCCTGTAATCCTACTACTTGGGATTTTGAAGCAGGATTGCTGAGTTACTGGTCAGCCTGAGCTATATAGGGAGTCCCAGGGCAGCCGGGTTACATAGCACTGTGATAAATTAGTATGTAGATAGATAAATCAATCTATTAGCCAAAACTAATTATAACATATAGTTTCATAATTGCACATTCTTGATTGGCACAGATTTTCTACTTGAGGAAGTGAACACAATCTTTTTTGTTTTGTTTTATTTTGTTTTGAAGACAGGGTTTCTCTGTGTTGCCTTGGCTGGCCTCAAACTCAGAGATATGTCTGCCTTTGCAGTGATGGGGCAGTGATGGTGCCCCATAATCTTTTTTTTTTTTTTTAATTGCTACCATTTTTCTTGTTCCATTCTAAATAACCTAAAGCAAAAATGGTTTCTTCTTACCTCATAGTCCTTAAACAACTGGCGCATGAAGAAAAGCCACCCAAATCCAAAAAACAGTATCTGGGGGAGAAGAAAGACAAAATGTCAAATATATTTTCTTTTGACAAATGCCCCATAGAAATTATTTTATGACAAAATGTCTGTTACCTAGATAGTTATTTTTAGAGATTAAAAATGAGATGTACTTATAACAATGGAGACACTTAGATGCTCTTAGAATTTTTAAATTATTCATTGTATAGAATGAGTTTTAAAGTAGACAAAAAATGGAAATACATGTATAATGCTATAAACCAGTTTATAAGCTAGAGAAGTCAGTAAACAAACAAGGGCTTTACTCAGCATCAGGCTGGTGCCATGGGCCATACTAACCAAGAAGAATGTCAAGCTTTCACAGAAGTAAAGCTGTTTATTCCCCAGAAAAAGAATCCCGGTGCATTATGCTTCTTATGGCTCTCCCGAATGATGGTGAAGTGTGTCTGTACAGAATCAATTGCAATTCCCAGTGGCCTGATTACCTGTTACATGGATGTTCAGGAAAACCCAGCCAACTGCAGTTTCCTTTAGATACCAATGATAATTGCTAACAATAGCCCAGTCCAAGCCCTACTGGACCATACCTTGCCTTCCCCATTATATGTGTTCAGCCTCCTGTTTCTGCAGAGTACACCTATTATCTGCTGATGCTGGCACCCTGCACCCAAGTTATGGGTTTCCATTATTCTTTTCCTACACCTTACTCCAACAACCTTCCAGGGTTACAAATACTATTAAAGCTGCAACTATAGAATGCACCAAGCATTTAGGGCAGGTCTTCATTGTTCTGTCATCAAAGCTGGAACAGTAACAGAGGGCCAGTAGTACCTAAACCACAGTTTTAGTTTTTTTGTTTGTTTGTCCAGTTACTCATATCCCCACCCTCACCCCCTGTGACAGGGTTTCACTGTGTACCCCTGGCTGTCCCAAAACTCACTCTGTAGACCTGACTGGCCTTGGACTCACAGAGATCTGCCTGCCTCTGTCTCTTAAGTGTTGGAATTAAAGATGTGTGCCATCACTGCCTGGGCCACCATTCTTAAAATAACATATAAAAACCAAAAGACCACAGGTGAAGAATGCTGCTACTCAGAAAGAAACAAATGCAGCAGGTCCTAGTTAGCCAATTAAAAACCATGAATACAGAGGGGCTGTGGCAGCACACACAAGACTGGCGCAGGTTTAAACCAGACAAAGTCCTAGCACTGAGAAGGGAGTGGACACACAGTTTTAATCCTAACCAAGAAGGTATTTGCAACTGACACCTGCTAGAAAGGACAAAATAAGTTTTCTCCAATGGAGGTAACGGGTTATATCAGCCACACTCCAGGGCCATGCTCAGAAATAGCTGGCCAACACAAAACAGATTCTGTATTTTTGCCTTACTGATTTTCTTGTTTTGAGAGAACAAGCATACTTTTGGGTGAGTAGGGAGGTGAAGAAGATCTGGGAAGAGTTGAGGGAGGGGAAGAATACCATCAAAACATATTGTATGAAAAAATTATTAAATAAAAAGGAAAAATGTGCTTCTGGCAGCTGTGTCACAACAAACTGACTTCTCATTAGATGTCACTAAGAAGTCTCTCTGAGAGTGCTGCTGCCACAGTACTCTCAAGTCCAAAGCAGGAGAGGTCACTGTGAAACCCGTGAAACCAGCAGGGGACTAGGGAAGCCAATGCTGACAGTGACAGTGGCTGCTGCAGCCCCGAGCATAACAGCAACCAGCCCGAGGATAGGTCTCTGTGAAATCCTGATTCTGGGACCATGAATCATGTGAAATCAACTGTCTGTGCAGGTAGTATGAACTGGTCCAGTGTAACTTGCCAGGCAGCTCAGAGAAAGAAAAAAACAAACATACAAACAACAACAACAACAACAAAAACAATGACAACAAAACCAGGCACGATCAAGAGGTGGAAGGCAAACTGCACAAGGGAGTGGTTCACAGGTTGGATTTGGATGCCAAGGGCACAGAACACAAGATGATAAAACCCCCAGGCAATCTCACAGAAGGGACCCAAATTCTGAGTCTTTGTATTTTGAAAATGAAGGTGGGTTTCAAGAGCTAAATGAGAATGGAGTACTAAAGATGGGAATATTCAACAGAAACTTTCCTCAAAAGTTTTGGATGATTTAACTGAAAACTTACCCACAATATAGTCTGGACTCTAATTCCCATCACCACCTCAGTTCCTAAACATGCAAAAGTCATTTAACTTTATCTCGGAGATGCAGGGATGGTTCAGCATACACAAGTCAATATATGTAAATAAATTGCATAAGTGAACTTAAGGATAAAAATCACTATCACTTCAATAGATGCAGAAAAAGCCTTTAGCAAAACCCAATATACCTTCATGATAAAAATCGTAGAGAGAGTAGGACTGGAGAGAACATAACTCAACACAACAAAGGCTATATATGACAACCCACATTACCCTCACTTTAAATGGAGAAACCCTGAGCAATGCCATTTAAATGAGGAATGAGACAGGACTGCCCACCATCCCCACTCTTTTTCAATATAGCTCTCAAACCATCAGTTAGAGCAATAAAGCAGGAAAAGAAAATAAAGGGATATAAATAAGAAAAGAAGCTAAACTATTTCTATTCTTAAGATGAAATATCATACTTAAGAGATCCCACAAAGTCCACCACAGAACTCTAGAGATGATTAACAACTTCATCCAAGTGGCAGGATACAGAATAAACATGTACAAATTAATAAATTTTCACATCAAACATTGAGAAAGAGATCATACACACTCCCCACTCACAATGGCTTTAAAGAAAATAAGGTACCCGGAATAAACCTAACTAAGGACCTCTACAACAAAAGCTTTAATTCTCTCAAGAAAGACACTAGAAAATGGAAAGACAGTCTATGGTCATGGATTGGTAGAATTAAAATTTAAAAAATGACCATTATGCCAAAATGGACTTACAAATTCAATGTAATCCCAATTAAAAAAAAGAAAAAAAAATCCCCATCTCATTCTTCACAGAAATACTAAAACACTACTTACTATCCTAAAATTTATTTGAAACCACAAAATACCCAGGATAGTCAAAGCCATCCTGAGCAAAAAGAACAATGCAGAGGGATTACCATTCCAGACTTCAAGATGTATTACAGAGGTATAGTAATGAAAACAGTATGTTACTGGCACTGAAACAGACATGCAGACCAATGGAACAAAATTAAAGACCCAAACATATAAATACAGCGATATGATATATGACAAAGGTACCAAAAGCATACACTAGAGAAATAGCATCTTTAACAAATGGTGCTGGGAAAACTGGACATCCACATGCAGCAGAATAAAATTAGACCCATATCTATCACCTTGCACAAAAAACTAAGTACACATGGATAAAAGACCTCAATGTAAAACCTGGAACATGGAAACTGCTAGAACTGTCCTATAAAATACAGGTGTAGGTAAGGACTTTCTGAATAGGACTCCTTTTGCCCAGAGATTAAGGAAGGCAACTGAACAATGGGACTTCATACAAGTAAAAAGTATCTGCACAACTATGGAAACAACCAGGCAAAGGAATCGACAGTGGGAGAGAATCTTTGTCAGCTATATATCTGGCAGAGGATTAATATCCAGATACATATAGAGCTAAAAACTAGAACCTCCCCAAAGAAAACTGTTCTAAAACAGATCCACGGTGTTCTCAAAAGAAGAAACAAAACCAGCTAACAAATGCCTCAAAAATTCTTAGCAATTATGGAAATGCAAATCAAGACAACTTTGAAATTTCATCTCTCCTAGGTCAGAATGACTAACATCACCATCACCAACAACAACAAATGCTGAAGGATGATGCAGGGAAAGGGGAACCCTTTTCCACTGTTGGTGAGATGGCAAATTGGTGCAGACATTATGGAAATCAACATGGAAAATTCTCAAAAAACTAAAAATAAATCTACCATATGATCCAGCTATTCCACTGCTTGACACAGGTCTAAAGACTCAACATCGCACTCCACAGATACCTTCTCAGCCATGTACACTGCTGCTCTATTCACAACAGCTAGGAAACGGAAACAACATAAATGTCCTTAAACTGATGAACGGAAAATGAAAATGTGGTACATATAGACAATGGAATACTATTCAGCTGTAAAGAAAAGCGAACTCATATGACATTTGCAGGCAAATGGATGGAACCAGATCATACAATATTGAGTGAGGTAAACCAGACCAAACAAAAACAAGACATGTTCTCTCTCATCGTTAGGTTCCTAGCTCCAAATCTTCAGATGTGAATATATAACCCGGAGGAACCACAGAAACCAGGAAAGTAAAGAGGTACTAGAGAGAAGAATAGCAGAATATGAATAATATAAAAGGGAAAATAGAAAAAAAGGACTTTAACTGGGAAGAGGTCAACACGGAAGGAGAAAGAGGGAGGAGAGATAAAAACACCAAAGATGTTCAAGAAAGCCTTAAAGATACATTATTTTATAATTACCTAAAGGCATGTACTACATAAAGCACACGCCTTTAATCCCAGCATTCAGAGGCAGAGGCAGATGGATCTCTGAGAGTTCGAGGCTAGCCTGGTCTACAGAGTGAGTTCCAGGACAGCCAGGGGGGCTATTGTACAGAGAAATCCAGTCTTGAAAAACAACCAAACAAACAAAGAAAAAGAATCAAGCAAGGAAAAGGCAAAGGAGGTGGGGACAGGAGGATGGGGCTTTCTAGATAGCAAAGATCATGAACAAAGACCGCTACCTGGTGTTGGTACACACTGGCAACTACATGGCTGGGTGGTGCCAGAAGATAATGTCTATGAAGGAGAAAGTTTAAAAACAAGAATAAGGAGGAGAACCAGCAGACCAGTCACCGAGAGCCCAGCACACCACCTGAGGAGCTTTAACTATTCTGGAAAGATGAGTGTCACCAAGGCAGGAAATGGCATGGCGAGTTTTGTTTCATGTAACAACTATGGTAGATTGTAGGGATCTACAATTTGAAGAAAACAACTCTAGGAAGAAAAATGTTACAGGAGGCTTTGGAGGAACTCAACTGAGAGTGGCAAAGCTGGTTACAGAAGAGGCAGCTACAGACTCAGGAACATATCAAGGATGACAAGATCTAACAGACATGGGACGTTAGGCAAGAGAAACAAACAAAAATTATGTTTATATGATGAGATAGGGAATGGGATGGGAATGGAGGGGGAGGGGGAGAGGGAGAGAGGGACAGAGATAGAGAGATGGGGGGGTAAAGCTTTAATGTGTTATCATGTGCTCCATGACAAAGCCTGAAAGGACTTGTAAGTTACAAGCACATGAATGAGCAATCGAAGCTGGTATGGTTGCCCAGGCCTGCAGTATGGGCTTCTCAGGAAGCAACACAGGGGGTTCCCTTGAGCACAGAAGTTTGAGGTCAGGTTTGGGCAACACAGTGAGACCCTGTCTTAAAAAAAGAAAAATAAAAGGGCGGGGGATTGGAAGATTTATTGTATCCAGGATAATCATGAATTCTGGCAAGGTTATAGAGAGGAAAAGTAACTTCAGTTTTTTGTTCCAAATGAACTGGAACCTGCATGGCTTATTAAAAACAAAGCAAAACGAAATGAAATGAACAGTCTTAGAAGTGTGCAAATTAGACCCTTGACCTTGGCTTACAGTGTACTGCTGGAACTTACGAGAGTACGCTGGACTTGACTGATAAGTCTGAACAGTTGAACTGATGGCTCAAGACAAGTTAGATGACAGTCACTTTTATGAAATGACTTAAAGTTTGGAAAGTAGGATAGATTAAATAAAAAGACAATGATCGGCAGAAGAATTATCAGGAATTACCTGGAAAAGACACATTTCTTGGATATTTGTTCATGCTTCTATTCATTAGCTAGTATTTATCAGCAGTTAATATGTGCCAGGTGCCAGAGATAGACTAGTGACTGAGAAAGCAAAAATGCTGCTCTTAAAAGGTTTATAACCTACGAAGGAGATAACAAGTAATTACAAGACAGTATGGCAGCCCATAGGGAAGTGAGTGAAGGGTATTATGTTGACAGGAATCGAAACATCAATCTAGCCTGGTCTGGGAGAAGTTCTTGGCTATCCAAGCTGAGATCTGAAGGCTGAACAGCAGTTGGCCAGGAGAAAGAGAGGAAGGGATGAGGGAGAGGATTCCAGAAAGAGAAGAGACCCTGGAAATCTGGAGGCACAAAACTAAAAAGAAGTTTAGGAAGTCTATAAAGTATTAACATGAAATGAGGACATGGTGACTGAGAGTCAAGGCTAAAGAGCTAAATAAAAGCGTTTTAAGATAAGAGGCTGTGTAAGACATACTGTGGACTTCGTGCTTTATTCTGTAGCATGGTGAACAAAAATGTCTAAGGCAGTAAGTTTTATAGAATTTAATTTTATTTATTACATGTGTGTGCACATGCAGGATCATTTTAGTGCACACACAGTATACAGAGGACAACTTGGTTTTCTCCTTCCATTGTGACCACCAAGAATCTAACTCAGGTTGCCCAGCTTGTGCTGGAGTGCCTTCACCTGCTTAGCCATCTCACTGGCCTGAGACAATAGGTTTTGATATGAAGCCTTTGATTTCATTTCAAATAAACCTTTCAGTTCATACAACATGGGAAAAATGGTATACATGTTGCTTTCCAGTTAATCACATTTCCCTTTCTATTAAAACAAGACTTACTAGGTCTCTACCCTCTGCCAGCAACTGGGTCAGAAGCCCAGGAATACAAGACAGAGTCAGAAAGATACTATCTTGGATTTCATGAAGAAAATAAAACAGAAATGAGAAAGAAAGTGGCTGGAATAAAAGGCCATTTTGGTTATTGCTAAGGGGCAAGTAAAGCCTCCCTGAAGTGACTTTGTTTTTGTTTGTTTTTTGTTTTGTTTTTTCAAGACAGGGTTTCCCTGAACCTTTGGAGACTGTCCTGGAATTTGCTCTGTAGACCAGGCTGGCCTCAAACTCACAGAGATCCGTCTGCCTCTGCCTCCAGAGTGCTGAAATTAAAGTCTTGTGCTACCACTGCCTGGCCTGAGGTGACATTTTTATTTTCATCAATACCTCAATGATGATAAAGTAGCCACATAAACATGGGTAGGGAGCATTCAATACAAAGGATTGCTTGAGTTTTAGATCTCAGCAGTTTGGTCAGTTAAATTTAATATTTCATGTGGATATATTTGCAAACATTAAAGGTTAAGGCATAAAAGATTAGAAAGCCATGTTCTTGAGTTAACTTTTGAATTATATTCATGTTAACCTCACAGGTAAAAGTGAATGGCATTTTTCTACTTATACTTTTATTTTTGTATTCTTAAGGTGCTGGGAAAGGGCACGGGGTTTTGCACATTCTAATCAAGTACTACACCATTGAGCTACAAGTTCAGTCCTTTGACATTTATATTTTTCCATAAAAAATGCCACTTAAAACTTAACTATTGTTATTTTTCTCGACTCGATACTAAAGATGAAAGCCACCCTGTGTTGCTATCAAGAAGAACAGGAGGTGTGGGGATGTTTTAAACAGAAAGACTGTGTGTCCAGAATTTTGTGTATTTACACATTTGAAAACTATGCTGGCAACAGAAACCATCAAATGTACTTGAAAGGTATTAATTCTGAAAAAGGAAAAACAGCTATTTTATTTGAGCGGTGAAACGGAGTGGCTTTGTCTTGTTTCATATTTTCATTGTTGTTACCGGAGTTTTCAAGAGGCAAGGGCAATGCTCCGCAGAGGGAAGCCTTAGCATGCAGCAGTACAAACCCTAAATGTTTGTAGGGCCCAAACCCAAGAATGTACCTCACTTAGGTTCCTGAAGGGATCTGTTTCTTTCTCCTGACATTTGGATGCAACGAAGAGAAAAATATTTTACTGGAAAGATGAAGGGGTAAGAGCAATAACCTGAAGAAGCTTCTGCAGCCGCTGCTAGTTAACCATTATTTAGTGATCGCTTGCATTGGGAGGTGAGTACACAGCAATGCATATGCGTACATACATGATGTCAACACCGTGATAAACATTAGCGGGGTGGGGGCAACCCTTGGGAAAGAAGCATGAACCATAGAGAAAGCAAGAGGCTCACTAGATGAAGAAGCTACTGGAGAGCAGGACCTGTCAGTGGCTTACACTCCCTCAGTTTTGTGTAACAGTGGATGTCGACTGTACAGAAGAATGGAGGTGGCCAACTGAGAAGAAACGAGCCAGCAGGGGACAAAGGATGAGGTGCCACTGCACAAAGGAAACGTCAGACTTGGAAGCCGCAGAGGCAAACACGTCGGCACCCGGATTTGGCTAAGCTCACACAGGTCACAGCAGTCAGCTCTGGTAGCCACGCGGCCGTGGGCCTCCCTCCGGGAGCCACGCTTCTTCGGGAAGCCTGGGGACGCTGTGGGAACTGCCCCCACCCGTGGCACCGCACCCCGGCCCACGCTGGGGCCAGCTGAGTGTTCCCCCCCCCCCAAGCGGACCCGCGAGTCCGGGGCATGCACGCTAGGTGAGTGACAGGGTCACCAGCCAGCCCTAACCACTCGGGCTAGGGGACCGCTGAGCAAGCCCGGGGTCTCCCGAGCGCACGAGGGCGGGCGGCGGCTCACCTGGGAGGTGACCATGATGCTGGAGTCTATCAGGAAGCTCATGGCGAAGCCTCGGGAGGCCCATGCCCAGCTGTCTACACCTCAGGGAAGGAAGACAGTCCACCTGCTGTAGTCGGCGGCCTTCGCCCCCAGCCATCCGGGCTGGCCCGTCGCGTGCTTACGCCATCAAGCTGCGCCCCGGCCAGCCAATCAGCGATCGCATCCCCGGTGGGCAGGGCTGGAGGCGGGGCTCTGCTCCTCTCGCTGGAAGCCGCGGGCGAGGCTTGAAATCCCAAAGCAAGTGCGAGTCTGTTTAGTAGGCAGAAGGAGCTGAGGCCCGAGAAGCAACGTTTTTTAAGTAGTACTGCCTCTAAAGGTACTGATCATAGCTAAAAATACGAAGTTAGCAATTTCTGGACTGAGAGTTGCGCGAGGCACTGAGTTACGCCCCCGCCCCCCCCTCCGCCAGCACTGCAAAAAAATAAAAAGTGAATGTAATGAATTAGGCTTTTAAATCAATCCATGTATTGTAATCCATGTTACAGCTTTTGCTTGGTCTAAAAACAATGTCGCAGCTACAGGTAGAGGCATGGTGGACAGGCAGGTAAGGTGTTTCTCAAACATAACCAACTCTGATATGACAACAACAGAAGTACCCCGCCTGCAGTGAGTGTGCAGTGAGGAAAACTAGCGCGTGCGAATCCCGCAACTGGCGAGCGACGGGCGCGGGAGGGCAAATTATTGGAACATGATCAAAGATGATGCTTTGAAGGGACAGGAAGAGGGAATTGAAGGCTCGGGAACCTGAGAAAGAATGGGTTGCACTGATATAGCCCCAAGGGATGTTTGCAGCGGGGCGGGGGGGGGGGAAGACTGGAAGTTTCACGAAGGCAGATTTTAATTCAAAATAGAGAATAATTATTTAGGAGTCTGAAGGTGGGTTATTGTTAGAAAGTAGTTTCCCCCTTCACAACGGACTGTGAGGCTGTGGCCCAAATACAAAGTGAATCACATCGCCCCTGCCCCCGCGCCCCATTTAATGAAGGATCCTCATTCCATGTACTGCAGTGAGGCTTATTCTTTTCCCACTAGAACCCTGGCTCGTCTTTATAGTCCCTGGGGTCTCCTAGTCCAGGAAACTGGCTCCAGCTCCAAATAACGCTGGGTAGGAGTGGCTGTAGTTAAGGCTGCAGTCAAGACCTGGAAGGGGGTGTGACTGTGTTGTGGGGAAGGCTAGTATGTAGACTCGGAGGGCTCAGATTACTACAATATGAATAAATGAGAACACTCCCTCAGGTTGCTGCACATAAAGAGAGATGCCTTTCTCTGATCTGAAGTCTGTCCTACGAAGCAGCTTGCCCTAGTTAGGGTTACAATTGATGTGATGGAATACAATGACCAAAAGCAACTATCAGAGCTGGTGCAGAGGCTGTGGAGGGTACTGCTTCCTGGCTTTCTCATAGCCCAAGACTACTAGCCCAGCTGGATGGTAGTGACACACACTTTTAATCCCAGCACGCAGGAGGATCTCTGTGAGTTCGAGGCCAGCCTGGTCTACAGAGCGAGTTCCAGGACAGGCAAGGCTGTTACATGGAGAAGTCTGTCTTGGGGGGAGGAGGCGGGAAAAGTACCATCCCAGTGTGGCACCACCCATCATGGTCTGGGCCCTCTTCCATCAATCACTAATTAAGAAAATGTTCTACAGGCTTGTCTACAGCACAATTTTATGGAGGTATTTTCTCAATCGAGATTCCCTCCTCTCAGATGACTTTAGCTTGTGTCAATTTGACATAAAACTAAGCAGCACACAGTCCTATCCCTGTTCCAAAGAGCCAGGAAGCTGTGGAGGCTGCCTTGCCATGAGAATGTCTTAAGCCAAAGAACTTTGTGTTGCTGGCCCCATATAACAGGAAGCAGGCAGCTGCCTACAATGTGGTACTTAATTGTCATTCAAAGCTATGGGATAGTGCAGGATATGGGAAATTTTACTTATATAATCCTCATGCCTAAATTATTTTGTATATATCTCTCTGATCTATAATTTGTGAACAAAAAGAAACACACACAGAGATGAAATTTAAAATGAATACGTAAGTTGAAATTGATAAATAAAAGAAACAATAATAGGGACTGTTCGGAATATCTGGCCACCTGTCCTCTGTGCCTGCGTGGGACAGAAAGTTCTCCCTACTGCTAGTACTTCCTGCTCCAAGACTAATGACTTTCTAGATGGATGCCAGCAAGGCATTCACTCGGTTTAGGTAAGTACCTACCTTTACCATGGCTTGTGACTTGACACCGTGACTTTGGCAAGGCAATCAGAAAGGAGGGTAATGCTGGAGTTATTTCAAGGTCTGAGATAGCCATTACTTATTATCCTGATATATAACCAGCCCATACACTTTTTCATTTCCCACAAAATGGCCCACAGTGAGTGCAGTGAACCAAATGTTTTCTCCCTTAGATTCTCATATCGAAGCCCTAATGTGATGGTATTTGGAAGCAGAGCTTGTGGGGTAATTAAGTTTGGTTCAGTCATGAGGGGTGACACTCTCATGATTAGTGCCGCTACAAGGAGGTACACAGACTAGAACGTGCGTGTTCCCTCTCCCCTCTCTCTTCTCCTTTACTTAGCCCTCTCCCCTTTCCATCACATCATGTGCAAATACAGCAAAAAGGCAGCTGACTGTAAGGCAGGAGGACTATCACCAGGAAGTGACAATGTTAGGACCTCGATTGTGGACTTGCAGTCTTCCAGAACTGTGGCCAATAAATATGTGATGTTTAAACCACCCAATCTATGGTATTTTGTCACATTATCTTGAAAAAAAGGCAGTTAAGATGATTTGTCATATAGTTTTCTTTCTTTTTTTTTTTTTTTTGGTTTTTCAAGACAGGGTTTCTCTGTGTAGCTTTGGAGCCTATCCTGGCACTTGCTCTGGAGACCAGGCTGACCTCGAACTCACAGAGATCTGCCTGCCTCTGCCTCCCGAGTGCTGGGATTAAAGGCATGTGGCACCAATGCCCGACCTGTCATAGTTTTCAATTAGAAATATATCATGAACATTTTCTCATGCTAAAGCCTTTTCATTTTCATTAACTCAATAGCATTCCAATACTTGGTCATGATGTGATTTAACTACATCTGCGTGGGGGGGGTAGAGAAAATTTTCATATACATGTATGTGTGCATGTGTAGAGACCAGCGGTCAACTGAAGGGTTCCTGTTAAAATGGAGAAGTGTGCCAGACACACTGTGGCCTATGGGCTGAAGATGGATGCCCCAACATTGCAGAGGAACTTAGGGTGACTGTCCAGGTAGTGAGATGTTCTGTCAAATCTAGAGTTTATATATTATCCTTCTGTGGTTTTTGATAGACTTGAAGACAGATAGTTATGGTTATAATTTTCTTCAGTTATTATAAAAGATGTTACCCTTATCTTTTATAATGTCTCCATAAGAGGAGATGATGGGTAATGTACTGTGTATGTCTATCTTATTGATTGTTAAATAAAATACTGTTTGGCCAATGAGACAGCAAGTTAGATGGGACTAGGAGTCAAAGAGGATTCTGGGACATGTAGTAGAGAATGATCCAGGCAGGAAGAGACATAGCAAGGAGCTTCATATTTAAAGAAGGAGAAACAGGAAGCATGCCTCTTTTCCCCTCCGCTCCTGCTCCAGTAGCACAATGTGAACCACCAGCAATGAGGGACGCCTAAGCATCCGATAAGATAAGTCTTATAAAATGTATAGGTTTATGATAGTTAAGACTGAGCTAACAGATGAGAATCATAGTCATTGGCCAAGCAGCTTTAAACCAAATACAAGTTTCTGTGTATTCACTCGGGTGGGCGGCTGGCGTAAAGCTCACATGTGGCGGTGGGGCTCAGGCGGCTTTTAGCAGAAAGATTTATCGTAACAGTCAACCTTGAGTGTCTTTTTGTACCCTTCTCCATGTTCTCTGACTTATTATTATTTTTTTTTTTGACGGCGTCTTTAAGTGAATCTGGAGTTTGCCAATTTGGCTAGACTCGCTGCTCAGCAAGCCTGTCTCTGCTTCTGTAGCATTGGGATTGCAGTTGTGTGCTGCCCTGCTTGGCTTTTTTACTAGGATATAGGAGATCTGAACTCAGGTTTGCATGCTCTCGTGGCAAATAGTTTACTACTGAGTCATATCCCCAGTTCCTCAGTCTTCATGTTTGATGCTTTTCGTATCGTTTGCTATAATACAATTATGTGATAAAATATTTTTTTATTTTTAATGCATGTGTGTGCATATATGCACGTGTGTGTGTCTGTGTGTGTGTGTGTGTGTGTGTGTGTGTATGTGTAAAACACAAGACATAGCCTTGAATGTCATCCTCAGAAACTCCATCCATCTTTTTCGAGAAAATGTCTCTCATTGGCCTGGAGCTTTCGTGGAGGCTAGACTGACAGCTAGTGAGCCCAGGGGTTCTTTCTGTCTCCTCCTCCCTAGCTTTGAAATTACAGGTGTGCCTCAGTAAGGCAAGCACTTTACTTATTGAGCCTCCTGTCCATCTTCTACATGGCAAAGACTATGAACCACAAGTAATTGTTACAGAGATTCGTTCCTGCCAGCCTGGTCCCAACGCTGCTTCAGTCCCAAATGAACACATAGATGCTATATTAATTATAAAACTGTTTGCCGGTTGCTTGGGCTTCTTATTGGGCTAGCTCTGTCGTAATTATTAACCCATTTCTATTAATCTATGTATTTCCACATGGTCTTATCTTACTGGAGAACACCTGGTGTGTCCTTTCTTTCCGGTCTCACAGGCATCTGTTTCTGCCTACCTTTCCCAGAATTCTCATCTCTGAGTTCCACCTATCTTCCTGCCTTATTGGCCTACAGTGTTTTATTCATCAACCAATAAGAGAGACATATATACAGAAGGACTGCCCCCATCAAGTAATAATTTATCTAAACTTTCAACTTTCTCTAGGCAAGGGACTTTCACTGTATGTGTCCCCAAATCCCTGGACACATACTGAACTCTTTTTAGCTAGCTCCTGTGGCAGCTAGAGTTGAGGCTGTGGACTTCTGCAACAGAGTAGTGGGTGGCTGATGAACTGTGGGTGAGAAGGCTGCCATCTACCTAGCAATTGCTTTTAGAGTTTTGTCTTCTACCAATCGCCTAAGACCAAGTGGGCATGGTCAAGTCTCTCAGAGATGCTGTATTTCTGTTCATACTTCTGATGGCTACCTACTTTGATACCCTAATTTTTTTCTGCATAAATGATTCATACTATGTCTATGTGGCTATTATAATTTATATCAATGAAAATTAACACTTGTTTTGATGATTCTGGTCTCTTTGTTTTGTGTCTTTATTTGTTGTACAGATATTTTTTTAACCCTTAGAACTTTAGAAGACAGATTGCTTTCAAGCAACACATGTGATCCCATGTTTTCTGTATGCTAACAGAATCAAGAAATCAGGTACTTCTACTTTCTCATGTTTGTCTTTTCCCCCAACCCCTCCAATACAACTCCTCAGTTTATGTTCCTATAATCTATTACTTCAAACCTTTAAGAATTACTAATATATAAGTTGTAGCTTGTAGCTATATTCACAATTGCATGTAATTCACCATACACTTAAATGTATTTAGTAATTATCTTTTGCTTCTTGTACACTTTGCCTCTGTGATTGTTTTAGCATTTCCTTTATCTTTGGCCTGAGTGAATAACAAAATATTTTTTCTTTGAAGATGTTTTGCAGTTATGTTTTTGTACGGTTTAGAGTGTCTTTTGTTTATTTACTTACTTTTTAAATTCATTTGTTCATTCATTTTGTATGTGCATTTGCGTGTGCTAATGTCCATAGTGTGCCCATGGAGGTCAGAGAACAGCCTGCAGGAGTCAGTTGTCTCCTTCCCCCATGTGGGTCTGGAGATTGAACTTAGGCTATCAAACTTGGTGGCAAATTCCTTTACCCCCTCACTGGCCAGAAAGTACCTTCTGGTTGCACTGACTCCTGAGTGAAATTTTATCTATTTGGAGTTCCTGGGTTCTATTTTCATTTTCAGTGTCCTGTAGACATCCCATTATTTCTTAAAATTTGATATGATTATGAAAAGTACAATGTCATCAAAAGTACAATCATATATTTCCTCTTTTCCTGGAAACTTAATCTTGTTATTTATAGTTTATTCTACCCCTGATATTTGGAGCCATCTGAGGGAAATGACCACTCAAATATGTTGGAGGAGATGGTATATGACTTCCATGGTTAGGTCACCGAAGACGTTGAAGATCTCCTTGATCTTTTGGGTAACTTGCTCCAGGGTAATCAGCCACTAGGTCATTAAGACACTCAAGTAGCCTCATGGAGAGGCCTGAGGAGGGCCAATTTGGTAGCATCAACTTGAGTGAGTGGATTCCCCCATAGCTGTCAAGTCTTTGAGAACATCAGTCTGATCAATACTGGATTGTAGTCTCACGAGACATCTCTAGACTGCTCCAGGCCTGACCCACAGGGAGGCTGAGAGATAATACGTTCTTGTTTGAAGCCACTATGTTTTGGAGTGGTTATTACACAGTAATATATAACTAACATAAGTCATCACAAGTAATATTTTTGCTGTATATTTGTGTGGAATTATCTGAGGGTTTATTATGTAGCCTTGATTTTGTTTCTTTACTACTCAGCAAACACTATGGATTTTGAGTTTTTGTTTCAGACCTACTTAACCTCAATGTATCAGTTTCTGGAAACAGATCATGATAACTACTATAACGTCAATCTTGACATCTCAGTGGATTTATACAAGAAAGGTTTAGTTTTTTATTCAGGCATTGTCCAGAAGTTCAGATAATGAGGACTGGTAGGCATGGAGAGCCCTCTGATCTCCAGTTGTCCAAAGATGACATCTTCCTAAGATGATATTCAGAGATAGCTCCATTTACAGTTCCTAAGTTTACACTCATATAACCTAAGACTTCAAACCTCTAAAAAATATATTAAGAATTATTAGTATACTATATTATATAATATGTAGTCTAAAGAAACAGTAATACATGTAAGAATTATTAATATATAACATTATACAATGTATAATATTAAGAATAACTACTATATAAGAATTATTAATATATAACATACAAGTTTCAAGTTATAGCTTGTAACTACACTCACAACAATTGCATTTATTCACCATATGCTTAAATGGATTCAGGTATTTAGTAATTATCAAAAATTCAGTAAACAACTTGCTCAGCAGCTCTAGGAGGCTCCTAGGTGAAATGAGGGAGAATATGATTCAGCCAGAGCAGAAAGAGTCTCCCAGTCAGCTGAGTGTGTTTCCTCTCCTACTCCAACAGGCCTCAGGGACAAACAAAAGCCACACACATTGTAGGCCACTCTGTTAGAGGCTGGCTGCAGGTGTGTCTGGCCACGCCTGTCAGGGCGTGGTCAAGGTGAGGTCAGGATGACATGGGATAGGTTCTTAAGAGGTGGCAGGCACATGGGAGGCCCCTTCTCTCAGGCCTCACTGCTCGGCTGCCCTGGGCACACTCTGGCTTGCGTTTGGCTGGTATTTATCTGAATAAAGGTATCTTGACCTTATGGACTATGGATCATCTTCACTCACTTTATACACACCTGGTTGGCCTTCTCAGGAGAGAAGCAAAAGGATAACATATGTGAAAGCATCTTTAACATGATGGTTTCTATCTTCAACATCCAGGAATTTATATGCAAACCTCTTTTCCTTTATTTATGACAAAGGAAACCTGTTTGCTTTCAAGCCTGGAAACCTGGGACCGTTAGGGAACCACTTTTTCAGACATAGCCTTAGTTAGTGCCAGCCTGCTTTGTTGCTGTGTAGAGCTTGGCCACTTATCTTATTCCTGTCCTGGGTGGTCTCAGTAATTCATTTATGTATTCATCAAATGTGACTATGTCCCAAGTATTCAATATGCAGTGATAAGTAGGATAAAATCTCTGCCCTAGCAAATTAAAACATTAAAACATTTACATGTATTTATTTAGTGCCCCCCCCCCCCCCCTGGGTGTGTGCACATATAGGTACACACACACACACACACACACACACACACACACACCACACACACCATGGCATGTTTGTAAGTCAGAGGACAACTTGTCCTTCCATCATGTAGGTCCTGGGATTCAAAATCAGGTCCTTATGTTTGGTGGCAAGTGCCTTTACCCACTGAGCCATCTCTCCAGCCCCAATGAAACAATTTGGTAAGTAAGAACAACAGAAGGGTTCATGGGTATCAAAGTTCTGCAAAGGAAGTAACAACTAACCTTTTCTTAGAATTTGTGAAATTTCATAAACAAAGACACAGCTCTGAAACGATACAGCATTTATTGGTTTCTGTGTGCCAGAACTATCTGTACTGGACACTCGATGCTGGTTCCTTCAGACTAAGGCAAATGCATGCAGAGAGACGTGGAGGATGAGGTTTCAAGGTGGTACATCCATGTAGCATTGCTGCAGGCAAGCAATGTGAGTGATTTGGGCTATGTTAAATGGGGGAGGGAGCGAGAACTCTGGGGCAGCTTAGCAAATTGAAGGAAGGCTAAAATCCGTAGTCTGAAAGAAATAAGTACCAGGTATTTCCTGAAAATCTGGATGTTCAAGAACTTGTGCCATCATAAACGAATTCCAACCAATTTTCAGGTTCCTGTTATTCCACACGTGAGTAACATTCTAGGGACTGTGACTGATTAGCCCAGTGGATCCCCAAAGCCGACCTCCACCCAGGAAATCAACTAAGAATCCATCAAGAGGGGCTAGAGAGATGGCTCGACACTTAACAGCACTGGCTACTCTTCCAGAGGATCTGGGTTTGATTCTCAGCACCCACATAGTGGCTCACAATCCCAGGGGATCTGATGCCCTCTTCTGCCTCCCTCAGGCACTGTATGCACACGGTGCACAGACATACCTGCAGGCAAACACCACACACACACAATGAAGTGGTGGGGTGTGAGGAGGATCTGCCAGGTCTATACCCACCTGCAGAAGGGGGTTTCCTTGCATAAATTGGGCTGTTAGAGCAGAAGAGAATATCAATTGGTGAAAAGAGCTCTTATCTGAGTGAGTAGGCACAAGCTACAAACGACTGTGTCAATCATAGTAGGGAATGAAGAATTACTAAAGAGTTTTGACAAGAGCGGAGACAGGATAAATCCCAGGCAGAAGCTTCTGACTAATTTTACCTGGTTATCAGTTTATTTTCATACTCAATGAATCATTTCATTTCTTCTTTAAATTCTCAGGGGCAAGAAAGAAAGCACATGTTATCTTTTTGCTTCTCTCCATGGACTAACCAGGCGTGCCTTTATGTTTTTCCCTGCTAGAGTAGGAGAGGAAGCGTACTGAGCAAATCTCAGCTGACTGGGAGAATCGTTCTGCTCTGGCTAGATCATATTCACCCTCATTTCACCTAGGAGTCTCCTGGAGCTGCTGAGCAAGTCGTTTGCCAAATTTCAGGAATTCTGTAAGCCAGCTTTTCAGTTCTTTCACTATTAACAACTAGACTGTATAAACCTAAAAGTGGCATGAAGGTAACATACACTCAAAGCTTCCTATCTTCTATTATTAGCTTTAGTCCATGAGTCAGCTTTACATCACTTTGACAAAACACTGGACACAGGCCATGAGTAAAGGAAAATAGTGCTGTTTAGCTCACGGTTTGGGAAGTTCTGTGGCATAGCACTTGCAGCAGCTCAAATCCAGTGAGGGCTCTGTGACAGATGGAAAATGTCAAAATCATATGTTGGAGTAAGCAGTCATATCTCAAGCAGGAAATAGAGATTTCTGAGAGGGACCAGGGTTGCTCCTTTTGTAATCACTCTCTTCATAGAACTATGAAGGGGTCAGATGAGAACTACTGTGGGGTCATGTGAGAATGACTTCATGCCACCGATGACCTAAGGACCTCTAACTAGGTCCCTCCTCTTAAATGTTCCACCAGCTGATAGGGGACCAAGCCTCCTATCACATCAACTGTTGAGGACATTCAAACCACAGCACTGAGGTTAGTTATATCTACAGAACATTGCATATACAGTGTATGATAAGGAAACGTCACAATGTGCCACTGGACATTTTATTACTCTGCCAGTGATATGGTACGGGTAGCTCAAAATTGATAACAGTGAAAGAATTTACACAAGTCAAGTAAGAAACACACACAAGCCAGGGCTTCTTTACCTTGGAGAAAGCTATTCAACATTTACTCACATACCATACTCCCTTCCTTTCCCAGACCCCAACTCAAAAGAAGAATAATTAGAAACTGAGGCAGTCTTTTTACTTGATTGATAGGTCAAAAGAAAAAACAAAGGTGATTAAAAGTCAAGTTAGTTTTATTTGTTTTGTTAACAATCTACCATGTAGTTATTAGTTCTGACACCAGAATGGAGAGGGTTGGAAAGTACAGGATCCCCATCCCAGTGTTGCCACTCATGAGCCATTTCCTGGTGGAGTTAACTTTGAATGCATCTCTTAGCTCACTCTTTACTGGTGTTTCCCAGATGGACAAGAAAGCACACAGAGAAGGCAAAAAAGTAGTTTCCTTTTCTCTCCAGGCAAATGGATGGATTCTTATAGAATCTGTTTTCTGCCCGGGCAATCTCCTGAAGACTGTGGGACTCTAGTCTGTCCCACTCACACCTGGTGGCCACTATCAGAGATGAATGGCATCCTCTCCCAGGCTCTGGGAGTGGTAGTGTCAAAAGCAGTGGAGTCTGAGTTGTCTTTCAGATAGCTTCTCTCTTTACTTAATTGTTGGATCTAGAGTTACCTTTCCTTTATCCCCTCCATTCCCCAAAGACATTTTTAGTTTTACTACAGTAATTTCAAGAAAGGGAAATCTCCCTGTCTCTTCCATCGTAATTTCTAAGCACACACTACATCTTATAGAACATATTTACACTCAGAGGAGTTTTCCATCCAACCTGTCCCTACACGTTTTTATCTAGTCTGTACTAACTTTGGCTGGGCAATCATTTCACATGAAATGCATAGAGGGCTAGTTTGAGTCAGAGGGAGATAAGAGGAGGATGGAATGGGAGGTGCTGTTGAGGTCCTGGGCTGTTCTTGGCCCACACAGTGTCCGTCAGACCTCAGGAACTGAAGAGGAGCACTGCTCTGCATTAGTCTTGCCCTTTGTTTTCCACGTGGCTCCAGCCGAGCTGTTCCTGTGTGCTTATCTTTCTTCTGCCATGAATCAGTCTTAGAGGTTGACACATCCTTCCTTCTCTGCACAGGAACTCTGCTAAGATGAGCTCCTTGGCATCGCTTGCAACAACAGGTTCTCGAATGATTAAAGGTGCTCCTTGTTTGCAATGTGATTCTTAGGAGTTCAGGGCCATCCCCTCATTTTACTCGTTGTCCCACTTTTTATCAGCCTCTTGGTTTAATGAGCTGTGCACTCTTAGGGAGTGACACCTATCATTGCTTCAGGATGTACTTTACAATGTCATCTTACGGTTTGGCAATGCCTCCCTTCTTTTCATTTCCACATTAGTAAGTTTTTCAGAAGAAGAATTAGACCTTGTGAAGGAGGGGGCTTATACTCCCCATTCACCTAGAGAACACTGTCACAGAGAGCAGAGGAATGACAACTTGGCATCCCCAGAGTTAAAAAGAGGCAGCCACCACACCTCACAAAATGTCAATGATTTTTTGTGGGCCTCCAAGCCATATTAATCTTCAGGAATATTTGTTCAGTGCTGTGTTGGATACATCACCTGAACATCAAGGGCTAAAGTCATGAAACCCAGATAGGTCTTTTTACAAAGCACAGATGCTAGGGATTACCCAGGCAATCCTGCAACTCTCTAACTGAACTTTGAGTGACTCAGCTTTCCTGGTGCAGATCTCCCCGATGGTGATGTTAAGACTATCAAGTCCTTAGCCCCTTTCCCCTGGGAGCCACACTTCTGTTATCTTGCTAGTCATCTTTTATTGGCAGGACCATGTGCTCTAGGGGGTTATTTAATGAGGGCCCGAGTTGGAAGTAAAGCTGGACTAAGAGAACTCAGAAGCACCATGATCCTGGGTCAGTCATGATTATTTGCCCCCAAACAGAGAGCACGGATGCCCCATGAAGAACACGGACACACAGGTACCTCTGAATGGGACCTCATGGGAGCTATGTGGCAGCTAAAGAGGAATCTCATTCCAATCATTGAAGTAATTGCTCATCTATCGGGGGTCATTGTATGGAATCAAAATTTTGTGGAGTCTTTTCTGAGAAAACTGGCTTCTAGGATGTCTACCTTGAAAAACTCTCACCACGTAACTGAGGGGGTAGGTGGAAACTCTCACCACTTATCTGTCCCCACCCTGTCTTACTGCTGTTGGGGAACCTCTCAGGAAGTGGCAACATAAAGCAGATTCCAGGCCTGGCAGCCAACTCATCAGTCCTTCTGATACCCCTGGAGGTAGGCAGGCAGTGAGTGCCATTGCTTGTTTGTAGACAGAAAACCGAGGTATAGAGAGTATAAGAGACAATGACAACACAGCAACTAACTGGCAGAAATAGAAAGACAATCCCTGTTGGGTGCTTGTGTCTGTCTCATCATCATAGACTTCTTTTTGTTGGGAAGGTCAAAAGGGGAGTGTCCAACGATGTGGGGGCCCAAGCAAGTGTGGGCAGTGAAGCGAGACACCACTTCATCTGAGGGAATGCCCCATTCACACCCACATGCAGCCAAGACAAGGAGCCCAACAACCCTCCCCACAGCTCTGCAACTGGCTCCCAGCAGCCCTGGCAATGTCGCCTTAAAACAGGATTTAGCTTTTTCTTTATTCTTTTTAAAATTTGGTCTTAGTTGGGGTGCTGGGGATTGAACTCAGGGCCTTACACTTGCCAGGCAAGCACTCTACCACTGAGCCACACCCATCATGTATCAGGTCCTAGCAGAGATACACCCACCCCACCCCACCCATCACACCCCTGGTATTGATCAAGAAAGAAGGTTCTTTTTGAACTGTAAGCACAACCGCAGGGGTAATCAGGCAGCCAATGAGGGCTGAGAACACTCTGGAGTCTCAGGCTTGGGAGTTTTGCTACTGTTCTCACTGTGCACGACAAGGTTTGTGCTGGACTGTTACTACCTGGCAGGGGGAAGATTTCAGTAAGAACCAGAAAGTCACATGTTGAGAACATAAAAGCTTCCTTCTGTTCAACTGTTCATCCCCGATGCATTCCTCCATTGAAAGTCTGTTACTTTGGGTTTTTAGATAAATACATAGTTACCTTCCTCATTTTAAACACGGATTTACTAGGCATACTTATATTAAAAAGAAAACAAACCTTCTGTGAATTATTTTTGAAACTGCTTTGGCTTAGGATGTGGCACCAGGCAATGAGAACATTAACTTTCATAGGGAGGGATAGTTTTCCGAGGCTTAATCCAGAATAAATATGTTAAAATGAGGGTGGTATCCAGAGGATCGCAAGAGGACTTTCCCACTTTGAGATGGTGCTGGCAGGAAGTAGGGCCAATCTAAGGGCATTTTTTTGGTTTTTGTTTGTTTGGTTGGCTGGTTTTTTGGTATCTTGGTGCAATGTCCAGGTCTCTGCACTGCTGACTTAGTTTCTCCACTTCCTACCCATCCTTAGCTCGTGATGCAGTCAGTGTTCAGGCATGTCCAGCCTCTCGACATTGTGATTCCATCACCTACAAAGTTCACCCTAGAGAATCATGTGCTTGAAGCACAAAAAATAAAATTACAAAAATCGTATAATGTTTTAACTAAGTGTTCTGGGTAGTTTTATGTCAACTTGACACCAGCTAAAGTCATTTGAGAGGAAGGAACATTAATTAAGAAAATGCTGTCCAAACATTGGGCTATAGGCAAACCTGTGGGGCATTTGCTTGATTAATGATTAATGGGGGAGGGTCCAACCCATTGTGAGTGGTGCCATCCCTGGGCTGGTGGTCCTGGGTTCTATAAGAAAGCAGGTTGAGCAAGTCAGTAAGCAGCATCCTCCATGGCCTCTGCTTCGGCTTCTGCCTCTAGGTTCCTGCCCTGTTTGAGTTCCTGTCCTGACTTCCTTCAGCGATGAACAGCAATACAGAAGTGCAAGCCAAATAAACCCTTTCCTTCCTAACTTGCTTTTTGGTCATGGTGTTTCATCAAAGCAATAGTAGCCCAAACAAAGACAGTAAGCTTATGATTTTGTGTTGTGCTGCATTCATGGCTGTCCTGGGTGGGATGTGAAGCCCATTATCATGAATTTCTGCCTTCTCTTTAAAAGAATCAGATAGGTAGGAGTTAAGGTCACCATTACTTATCTTCATTATCTATCTATCAATCTATCTATCTAAATATCATCTATCTAGCTAATCTGTCATCTATCTGTATCTATCTATCTATCTATCTATCTATCTATCTATCATTCATCTATTCTGGAAATCAATTGAGTAAAATTGTTCCCTGTATGAAATATGCATGTGTACCTTATATTTTTCCCTGATTGGACTCAGTATTTGAGGTGGGTTGGTTGAAGGCTTATAGGGCATGATTCCCCTTTAGCCTCTGTGTCCCTAGGGATACAATGTGGACTGGATACTGACTGAGCATCCAGTTTGTAGGTAATAGATTAAGATACTTTCTTCCCCTGTCAGTTCCCCACAGATAGCTTTTGGTACTCATTTTGCCTGAACAAGACTTGAGCGCTGCCTCCCTCAGGAAAGGCCTGTGGGCAGACATCCTCCAGCTTGGAACTGATTCTGTTCCCAGCTCTGGTAAAAAGGAGATGCAGATTTTAGGCTGAATACGGATGTTGGAAGAGGAGAATTTTTTAAAAAGGATTTTTGTTGCTTCAGGGAAGAAAACTGCAACCGGGCTTGAAAGTCTAAAGCCTTTTCATTTCACAGGGAGAGGTTTGATAGCTCACTCGCTCTCTTACTGTGCTCAGGGCAGAATTCTTGCTGACACAAAGACAAAACAGCTTTAAACCTGGGGGCACAGTGACCCAACAGAACGGTCAGCAAGAACTCTGGGTATCTCCTGGACTGACAACTTGAGATCTTTCAAATTGGTAAAATGAGGTTGGGAAGCTACAAAAATATGCCAAGACCATAAAAAAAAAAGTCAGGCAAATTCCTTAGCAAATCTGGGCTCATTAATTTAAACTGATATTGTAAATTGATACCCCACAGGTTAAATTTGGATACATTGCATTTGGTCCACATATTGTATTTAACATTAAGTTGCTAAAATTTAAATTATATTTTGAATTTCTGGCTTCTCTTAAAACAAAACTAAACTAAAAAAAAAAAACTAGAACAACAACAAACAAAAAACAAAACAGATGTCCAGGTATCAAGGAAACTCTTGCCTGGAAGTGGCCAGCTATTGCACCTGCTGTCCACCTTTCACATATCATTTGTCATCCTATTACAGTTGGGTCACTTAAGCTATTTAAGTCACCTGCCTGGATGCTGTAGGCTTTTGAGTTTGAGATCATTCATGTAGGATCAGTGGCTTCTGCTAGGGAAATGCTGGGTTCAGAGTCTGACTGAGTCAGTGAGCTTGAGACAAGACTAGTAAATGGTTATGAGGTAACCACAGTTCTGACCTGATGGTTTGCCGTGGAGAAGGAGGAGAGCAAAGCCCCCCCAGGGCAGGCATAGGAGACTGGGAACTTCACTAGGACAGCGGGTTTACCTTGGTAGCCCATACACAAGGGAAAGACAGTCTCCTAGTTGTACAGCATGCACTGTTCTAGGACAGCATCTATCCAACTAGGGGTGGGGGTGACACAGAAGGCTCCAAGTATATTGGTACCAGCTGGTTTTATCTCGGTCTGTATTAGCTGGAGGTGGGGTGCCTTTCTTCTGCACCACCTCATATGGTGAGATCATCTGACCTGGCCCTGCTGCTGGCTTTGCTCAGCCTGCTCAGGGGCCTGTTGTCGTCGGTTGTCAGCTCTGGGCAGAGTGAAGGCGCCTTTTCGGCGGACAGACCTTGCTTGGCTACCTTTTCAGCTTGCAGCTCTTCTTTCTCGCCATCCTTCCCGACTCCAGGGGTCTCTACTTTCTCCCCATCTGGCACAACAACCGTCTCCTGCTCTTCTGGGGTCACCTTCTCTGCTTCAATCTTCTTCTCTCCCATTTCCACAGCCTCCTCGACAGGCTGCGCATCCCCCTCCACTTCCTGGGCCCCCACCTGAGCATAAGAAGGCAGGGTTTCTTGGTAACCCCGTGACATATCTGCCAGCGGTCCTGTGCCGATCTTCTCCTCAAACTGACTGAAAGGCTTGGCTGAGAGTGGGCTGGTCTCCACCATCCCGACCTCAGTCAAAGGAAAGTAGTGGGACACGATCTTCTCCTCTTCCAGGAGCTGGTAGCCCTTGGCCTTCTGGATGGACGAAACCGCAATGGAATGGAGAGACTTCTCCGGGATCTCCCCCAATGGTTGCTCGACAGGCCTCTTGAAGGCAGACCGGATTCCCTTCATGCCCAGGTGGCTCATCTCCATGATGTTGAGGAAGAGGGACACAAAAGCTACGGACAACATGAACAGGATGAAGATGGTTTTCTCAGTAGGCCGGGACACAAAGCAGTCCACCACATTGGGGCAGGGCCACCGGCTGCAGCGATAGAGGGGCAGGATGCGGAAACCATACAGAAAGTAGTGGCCCACGATGAAGCCAACCTCAAAGAGGGTCTTGAAGATGATGTGGCAGACATAGGTCCTTAGCAACGTGCCCTCCAGCCGGAACTTTTTGGTGCCTTTGCTACTGCTGCTGCTCTTCCTGATGCTAGCCTGGTCCGGGGCAATTGGTACCCTCTCACCCCCGTTGCTGCGGGACTGCTGACACAGCTCCTCAGCTTCGCGGTCCTTTCGCTTCTCTTCCATGCGAACGTGATGCACCGCGTGCCCCACATACATCAGCGATGGAGTGGAGACGAAGATGATCTGCAGAACCCAGAGGCGGATGTGAGAGATGGGAAAGGCCTCATCGTAGCAGACATTCTCGCAACCTGGCTGCTGGGTGTTGCATACGAAATCAGACTGCTCATCACCCCACACAAACTCGGCCGCGGTGCCAAGGATGAGGATGCGGAAAATGAAAAGGACTGTGAGCCAAACTCTGCCAATGACGGTGGAGTGCTCATTCACCTCCTCCAAGATGTTTCCCAGGAAACTCCAGTCACCCATTGCTCACCACCTAGGAAGCAGAAGGCAAAACCTAAGTGGCTGTAGTACAACCCCGAGGTGACCTCTTTCCCAGCTCTTGGAGTGTGCTCCTTTCCGAACTGATGGAGCAGTCATGGGGTAAATATCTCTATGGAGTGCCTTGTCTGTGTGGACTAGTGCTAAGGGACGAAAGGGACCTTGAAGTGGGCTTAATGCTAATCTATAAAATAGTGTTACTAATACTATCTGTTCTCATTCACCTCACAAACTGTCTGAAAGGATCCATGAATCAGTGTCTGTGTAACTCCTTGAATATGGACCAGAAGTAGGAAGCTATGGTTACATAGATTTAAATCAAGACCACACGTTGATGGGAGATTCATGAATTGTAATACTGAAAACAATCCCCTATACTATGAGTTCCTGGGCTCCTAATAATATTCTTATGTGAATTAAATTGTAAGTAGCCACCTTGCTTTGGGCTCTTTTGGAATATGTAATGATCACATATATGAAAAGAAATGGAAGGGAATGAATATTTATCGAACATTTCTTATGGACATAACTTTGATGTTGCATTATTTCTTTTATCTCAATCTGGTTAGACTTTAAGCTCTTGCTCAGGTGATAGGGGTGTGCCTCTTGCATTTACTGCTGCATAGCCAATGCCTACACACGCACAACCCAGCACATAGGACTTTATTTGATTTTTTAAAAAAACAACTTGCTTTCAAGATATGAGAAAACAGGAGCTTTAGAGGCTAAACAGATGGCCTTAGATCAGACAGCAAAACACTTGCAGTTTGGTACCTGATCCCTAAGGTTTGATTTTCCAACCATTAAGAAATACTGCCTGAAACGTGGGTTACACATTTCTCCGATTTCTATAGTCCTAATTTATGCTTTCCTTTCTTGAGGTTGAGAGCTGGAAACCCCTCTTAATAGTTTTACAAATTGAGGACAGTATATTTTTATTATCAACCCTTTAGATCCCAAGAGCAGAGAGTGCTTTCAGGGGGAGCTGTGTTACAGAAGTCTGCTAGGACGTGTTCAATGTTTTACAAAACAAATAGGCTGCAGAGTTAGTTACAGGTGGTTGTTTAAATACAGATGTTTAATCTGTAGGGAAAAGATTATTAAACACAATGATATATAATTTCTCTAGTGTAGCAGGGGCTGAAATGACAGGGAGGGTGTGTACAAATGGTGCCACTCATTCAGGACTGTAATGTAAACAAAGCAAATAAAACCCGTCACATTACTTTAGGTCAGTTGTCCCTCCAAGCTGAACATCTCTGGAGCTGTAGAACTCACTCATGCCTGCCCTTAGATCAAGGCAATAGCTCCTGTTGGAGGACCTTTCTCTGGGTTTCTGCTGGCCACCATCCATAAATAAATGAGAAACATCACAGTTGGGTAATCCATCTAAGCATCAAGCCCACACCTGGGACAGACCCAGGGAGGTGGGTTTCTTATCAAATAGTTATATCTATTTTCTCTTGTAAGACAAAACTTTAGCTTTAATGTATTCTAATCTGATAGCTTATTATTACTGTGTACTTAATCTTACTATCTCAGAATAGAACATTCGCCTCAGAAGGCGAATCACTTTTTCGCCTTCCATGATCCATCACAGCATAGAACAAAGCACTTCAAAGTGTGGGTGCCAGAGGATGGGGCTGAGGGTGATGATTTTAAGATCTGAAACTCTCAGCTCCCCAAAAGACAATTATCATCAAAATTCAGGGACTTCCAGTCTTCTATGTAGTGGTAATTAGAGTAAGAACTCACAGTAAATAATAATCAATATTTATAAAATTTAAAATAAAAAAGAGAACTTTTAAGGAAATGCAAATACCAGGAAAAAAAAGCAAGATAATCCAAACTAGCTACCCTGAGCCAAAAACAAAGGGAAATAAGCCTTCTCATAAACTGGGGTGGATGGTACTTGTTTTCTGAAACATCAGGCTATAAATGGGTAAACCAGTGACTCTTAACACACAGTGTTACACGGTCATGGCTCAAGACCTTCCTAACAATTATGTCAATGATTTCTAAATGAAAGCCAGAGCAAAGCTGTGTCCTGCCTGCTACATTAGGATTGTTTTGAATTTTGAAAAAATTTTCCTTATGTCTATTCAAGAGTTTTGTGCCAAGTTACAGGCAACTGTAACTTAGAACAAAACCTTTCTATTAGCATAGCAGTGAAACAGGTTACTTTTGCCACCCAGGAGAGGTTTTAAGATGCTGGGGGAAGTGTTTGGGTTATTACAATATGTTTTAGACTGTGTGTGTGTGTGTGTGTGTGTGTGTGTGTGTGTGTAGAGGTCAAACAACAATTTTGGGAGTCAGTTCTCTTCTTCTATTTGGGTTTCTGGTTTCTGGGATCATACTTTGGTCATCAGGCTTGGTGGCAGGAGTCAACCTTTGACTTACTAAACTCTCTTGCCGCCTTTCTCCTTTTAAATTTAAATAAATTATTTGAAAAAGAAAAAAATAATGTTTATTTAATGTGTGCACTGTTTTTCCTGCATGTATGTGCTTCTGGTGCCTGCAAGGTCTGGAAAGGGTCATCAGATCCCCTGGGATTGGAACTACACATGATTTGAGCTGCCAAATGCATGCTAGGAATTCAAACCAGGTCCTCTGGAAGGGCGGCAGGTGCTCCTAACCACAGAGCCATTTCTCTCGTCACCCCCCCACCCCTCCTTAAATTTTTGTGTTTGAATTGTTGTCTTTTATTCCCCTCCATGGATAAAGATTGGACTAAACATGCCAGGCAAGTACTGTATGACTGAGTTACACCCCAGCCCTGGTCTTACTTGCATGCACAGTGGTGTTTAAAGAAGTAAAATCACAGTAGCCAGCTGGAGCATGGAGAAAGTGGGACCAAAAGAGCCATTCGCCTCTGTTGTCCTCTCTGCTGTATTTTGCTTGTGAAAATGGAGTGAACCAATCTAGTACATATGTAAATGAAACTAATAGGTTTTTTCAAACCTCAGTCCCAGGACCTCCATATTTTCCTGGCTACTTCCCACTCAAGCACTGTGGGTAAGGGTGATAACTGAAACAGCAACTTATGTCAGATGCTCACCTCTTCCTAACAGTGACGTACATTGATGTGTCCCCGGTCAGTCCTCATGACAAGCTATGAGCTAAGCAAATGGCTCTTATATTGAGATTTCAGGTTACTAAATACAATAAGCACAATAAAATAGCACACAGCTGCCAACCCCTTATTTTAAAAATAAGCAATGTTTCAGATCACTAAATAGTGTCATAGTCTGATTTCACCCTCACTTGATTAAAGGTGGGGCAGGCTTTAAGACCACAAAACCTAAAGTGGACACAGTTTTAGAATAAATGTCAAGTCTTTAAATTGAACACTTTTAGCTTGGTGTGAAAGTCACCTCATTGTTTCCTTCATTACAGTCGCTTTTTTTTTTGGTCACAGGCTGTCAACATTTTGCCCTGAGCTAAAATGGACAGATCTACAGTTTGAGACTCAGAAAATAAAGAATTGTTGACACTGTGACGAGGGAGGGACAAGATGAAGGGTTAAATGAGTCTCCTAAAGTGGCCCACAGCTGGGGAGAGCAGCAGAGCTCAGATGTGAGTGAGCCCCAGTCTTCCCCACTCCGACCCTCAAGGGAGTTTCTAGGGTCGTGCGGCCTTATCGTGGGTTTGGAGAGCCACAGAACCACATAAACACCCATGCTTACAAGTTTCCCAAAGCATCAGCGGGGCACACACCACTCTGGCTACCAGTGGGAGTAAGTGTGCCTCCATCTTTGTATGTAGGGCCACTAGGCAGCAACTCTCATCAACAGACGACAGAACCCTTCCCAGGAAGAGTTTTAGGACCTCTAGCCAGACTCATTCTAGTGCTGCGTGAACTGCTTTAACCTTACTGCTTTAACCTTTCGTACCCTGAGCAGGTGGCTCCCCCTCCACTCACAGCACTCAACCATTGAGACTTGCCCTTCCATCTCAGAGCTGTGAGTGAAAAAAATCGGAAAAAAAATGCATTGGTAACTGGACCAATTGTTTACATCCCTCTGGATTCCTGGAGGCGCGTTCATTCTTTCTGAAAATGAAAAGACCTTAAGACGTCAAGAGTTGGAGTTTGAACATCTCTATCCACACCCAACACATCCAGGCACTTCCCAACCTCTGTAAACCCTTGAACTCCCAGATGGTCCAAGCGCGGCCATCTCAGCCCAGAAATAGAACTTGGTGGCAACTTTCTTCGTTTTGGAGAAAACTATGTACTGTCCTGATCAGGCTAGAAAAGAAGCGAAGGGAAGGTTACATTGTAACGCCACCCAAGGAAAACTTGCCAGTATGAGTAGGGTCCCACGGAGAAACAGGTGCGGTCTTTCTCTCTTGGTGCTCAGCAGTAAAATGGCAACTTTGGTGTCTTTCCTTTGCCACCTAAAAGCCCACCTCCTACTTCTCTACCCCGCCCCTAATGTGCTGCACGACTGAGCATATATGACTGGATCAGTCCTGATGGGTAGGTTTTACTGTCCAGCAATATTTTAAGCTCCCAGCCAGACAGCTTTTATGAAGGGAGGGATGTTTGGGGAACAATAGGAGTGAGAGAATGGGAGAGCTGTGCTGGGCACCCCGGGGGGAGGAGGGTGGAGGAAAGCTGACGTGGGAAAGCTTAGCTGGGGCTTCTGCAGGCTCCAAACGTTTCTCTTAGCTACAGATGTGTCCTCCACGACAGGAAATCTTCGGTTTCCCAGCCCTTGAAGCTACTATCATCTTGGAGACTCTTAGTGATATAGGGAGAGTAAGAAGGGACCCGTGTGCTACCTTCTGCTTCAAGTCCGACTAAATGAGAGCGGCTGGTTCCTTGCAAAGGATGGCATTTCATCCTCCCTCGGGGTTTGGTCTTGTGACTATGCAGCCTCCCTGATGACGCTGTTACTGGAAATAGTGGGGTGCTGAGCACAGTTCTCAGTCCCAAGTGTGAGACACACACCTTGGTGAGTCAAAGAAAGCACCAGAAGTTC